GCTCCCTGCCTTCCAGCACAGCATCTAAATTTTATAATTATGTTTGTCTTGTGCTTAATTCACTCTACCAGTCCTATGCAGTGGAAATGACGTTTTGTCTGGTTACGCTTTGATCTGTTTTGTGCTTCCACTGCTGTGGATGTGTGCCTACGCTGGTTTTGATGAAAACTGAAAGTCTGCCCCGCACAGCTAAATGAACTACTGAGCACTTTCGCCAATTGACACGCCTGGAGTGTCATCGGTCGTCGTGTCCCCCCCCCCTTCTCTGTCCCTTTCTCACTCTCACTCACATGCTCTCTCTCTCTCTCTCTCTCTCTCTCTCTCTCTCTCTCTCTCTCTCTCTCTCTCTCTCTCTCTCTCTCTCTCTCTCTCTCTCTCTCTCTCTCTCTCTCTCTCTCTCTCTCTCTCTCTCTCTCTCTCTCTCTCTCTCTCCAATGTGTTTGCATTGGCCTGGCTAATGCTCTTGTTAAAGGGGAAGTTAAGCCTAAAATCAAATTTTCACCAGTTGTAATCTTCGGGGTGCTGAGTCGAATGGTCTTGGTCTGAGGAAGCTGAAACGCTCCCTTCCTTCTTTATTCCCAATCGAACTCGCGCACTTCCACCGAAACTGGGTGACTGCGCCCTACTCGATGGGGATTTGTATGCAAAATCTCACTAAAAGCGCTGTGTCGTTCTTATAAAAGCACGGATGACCGCGATTGGCCCATATGTTGTAGTCTTTTGGACGCTGAATCGACTAGTTTTGGTCCGAAGAGGCTGCAATGTAGCGTTCGGCCCTTATTCCCAATCGAACATGGTTGGACAAGCGGTCACGTGCTCGTGCGTACACCAGTCACCTGGTCACCGTGCCTGCAGGCTACAACTTACAGCATGTTTGGGTGAGTTTCTGTCACTCGAGTTGAACCTCTGCACCTTTGAGTTGAACCTTGGTGTGAAATTTGTCGCCTGCTGGCGTGGTGACTAGGTGACTGATGTACGCAGGAGCACGTGACCGCTTGTTCAACCATGTTCGATTGGGAATAAGGGCCGAACGCTGCATCGCAGCCTTTTCGGACCAAAACCAGTTGACAGAGCGTCCAAAAGACTACAACATATGGGCCAATCGCGGTCATCCGTGCTTTTATAAGAACGAAATGTCACTTTTAGTGAGATTTTGCAAACAAATCCCCATCTAGTAAGGCGCAGTCACTCAGTTTCGGTGGAAGTAAGCGGGTTCCATTGGGAATAAAGGAGGAAGGGAGCGTCTCAGCTTCCTCGGACCAAGACCATTCGACTCAGCACCCCGAAGACTACAAATGGTGAAAATTTGATTTTAGGCTTAACTTCCCCTATACTTCGGGGAAAAACACGTATCACTATGGCTGCAAATTACAATATCTCAGTCAATTTTTCGGCCAGGAGCCATCATAACGTCTGTGCTGAGAAACACAACCAGCTTAGGAAGTTTGAATTGTGCCAGGCCACCACCACCATGCCTGTGATACCAGGGTGGCAGATACAGCACCTAACAGCAAGGGTAAGGTGGTTAATCTCGCAACCAATGCCCGAGGGGGGGGGGGGGGGACTTGTTAGCTGCATCCATGTGTACCCTACCTTATACGTGTATGTTATACCGCCAATACTGCCAGGTGCTACTTTACTTGAAGGTGGCCCTTGCACTGCTGTGTCCTGGCGCTTTCCGACGGCACAATTCGGTGTGAATTGTATATTGTTGAGACGTGTGCGAGTGTGTACGTGTGTGTTCTCGCACGTATGGGCGTGAGCAGTGGCGCGAATTGCCTCGTGATCACTTGCTGGTGTACTGCATTCGGTGGTGACTTAACTCGGGCATGCTCCAGTTGCTACCTTGCGACAGCGTGCAGCGCTGTCAGCCTGTGTTACTTGCACCGCGTTTTTGCTGAGTTTACTGCCTACTCCGTCCTAGCACTAACTGTGCTGGCCTTGACTTGACAGCGGGCTGCATGGTAGGTGCATGGTGGCGCCAGGTCCCTCGGAGTTCTGTGCGTTGCGCAACATCACGCTTTACTTGTTTCAACTATGTGGTGAAGTATTCACGGGCGTATGTAGTCATGTGACCTGTACTGAGATGACGCCTCAAACGGTGATACATGCACATGGTGCCAGCTTTTGCTGGAGTTGCTAGCGCGAATTGTGGGGGTTGAACACGACCAGACCATCTCTCTAGCGCTGACACTGGTGCTGTTGCTGTTAGTAATACTGAGGCCGGTGTATATAATGGCTTCTTTCTTCTCATCCCCTTGTCTCGTATGCACGTATCGGCGTGCCAGCTGTACAGTGTACCGATCATCGTCAGTCCTCTCGTCTTGTGGTTGTTCAATGGCTTGCCAGCAGCTTTCTCTTGCCAATAGGCAATGTCCAGTTCTTCTAGCTGACTCTCTCCCGTCTGGTCTGCTCAGGCTATTGCTAGCCTTGCAGAATGTCGCCACTCAGCATGGTGGTGTAGTAAGCAGGGTCACCTGGGACCCAGTAAATGCGTGTGCGACTGCGGACTTTCTCATCCCGTCGCTTGGCGGAGGACGCGCGCACTGCTATGGTTTTGATGCGCTGCCACCGCACAGCTTTCAAGTGCTCTGGTCTGTGTGGCTGGCCAACGAGGGCCCGGTAGTATCATGTATCTGGCATCATGTCTGTGTGGACACGTCCAATGTGTCGGTGGGGCGGGCTACTCGGAGAATGGTGTCCTCGCTAGTGGCCATGTGCTGGTACTATGTGTGGCATCCCCACTCGTGCTATTTGAAGATGCTGCGCCGACTACTGTTGGGCAATCCCAATGGTGCTCTGAGACCTGCTCTCAGTAGGCCTTTTGGGGCCTACTTGATTGTTGCCGTGGACGGTCGGGTCGTAATACAGGATATTCTTCATTATGAAGTAAATCCACCGTTCCAGGTCCCCGGCACTACGAACCGTTATCACGTCAGGCTGACAACGGCAAACCTATTTTGCCTGACATTGCTGGGTGCCATGGTCAAGTTTCATTTCTCTGACCTGATTTTAATCACGGTTCATCAGCTGTTGTCCAACCCACCGGAAGTGCTCGAGCAGCATCTGCGCACTCGGCTGTGGCTGGGGTGCTACAGCGGTACGCCACTTGCTGTTATCCGCTCCGATATCGCAGCGGCGTTGGGCACCCCCTCGCTGGCTTTCATTTCGCCGGAGCTGCTACGGGTGCGTGAGGTTTTTCAGTTCGTACCATCGCTCATGATGGAGAGCGCCCGGGTGGCACGATGCCAGCTGCTTCATCAGAACTTGCCCCTAGAAATTCTCCATCACGTGTTACACCACTACTATTATTACACTGCCCATAGGACTCTTCCTGCGGCATTATACCTCCAAATATGGTACCTTGTGAGTCCACCGCTGGCGCTTCGCAAGTGTGAGTTTTGGCGGCAGCTTGAAATCACGGTATGTGGAGAAATGTTTGAGCTCATGGGAGAGAATGCTGTGGTGGCACCGCTTGCCCTGCAACACTAGTTCTGGCTGCCCCGCATGTGTGGGCCCGTGGAGGCCGTTGACCCGCCCAGTGCATCATGCTCTGCTGTGCGTTGCCCTCTGTGCGCAGCGTTGTTTTTGTCCATTTCTGTCTGTGTGGCTACCACTCAGCTCCCTGCCTTCCAGCACAGCATCTAAATTTTATAATTATGTTTGTCTTGTGCTTAATTCACTCTATCAGTCCTATGCAGTGGAAATGACGTTTTGTCTGGTTACGCTTTGATCTGTTTTGTGATTGCACTGCTGTGGGTGTGTGCCTACGCTGGTTTCGACGAAAACTGAAAGTCTGCCCTACACAGCTAAATGAACTACTGAGCACTTTCGCCAATTGACACGCCTGGAGTGTCGTCGGTCGTCGTGTCCCCCCCCCCCCCCCCCTTCTCTGTCTCTCTCTCACTCTCACTCACACGCTCGCTCTCTCTCACGCTCGCTCTCTCTCGCTCTCTCTCTCTCTCTCTCTCTCTCTCTCTCTCTCTCTCTCTAAATGTGTTTGCATTGGCCTGGCTAATGCTCTTGTTAAAGGGGAAGTTAAGCCTAAAATCAATTTTTCACCAGTTGTAGTCTTCGGGGTGCTGAGTCGAATGGTCTTGGTCCGAGGAAGCTGAGACGCTCCCTTCTTTATTCCCAATCGAACTCGCGCACTTCCACCGAAACTGGGTGACTGCGCCCTACTAGATGAAGATTTTTTTTGCACAATCTCACTAAAAGCGCCGTGTTGTTCTTATAAAAGCACGGATAACCGCGATTGGCCCATATGTTGTAGTCTTTTGGACGCTGAATCGACTAGTTTTGGTCCGAAGAGGCTGCAATGTAGCGTTCGGCCCTTATTCCCAATCGAACATGGCTGGACAAGCGGTCACGTGCTCGTGCGTACACCAGTCACCTGGTCACCGTGCCTGCAGGCTTCAACTTACAGCATGTTTGGGCAAGTTTCTGTCAGTCGAGTTGAACCTTTGCACCTTTGAGTTGAACCTTGGTGTGAAATTTGTCGCCTGCTGGCGTGGTGACTAGGTGACTGGTGTACGCAGGAGCACGTGACCGCTTGTTCAACCATGTTCGATTGGGAATAAGGGCCGAACGCTGCATCGCAGCCTTTTCGGACCAAAACCAGTCGACTCAGCGTCCAAAAGACTACAACATATGGCCCAATCGCGGTCATCCGTGCTTTTATAAGAACGAAATGGCACTTTTAGTGAGATTTTACATACAAATCCCCATCTAGTAGGGCACAGTCACTCAGTTTCGGTGGAAGTGCGCGAGTTCGATTGGGAACAAAGGAGGAAGGGAGCGTCTCAGCTTCCTCGGACCAAGACCATTCGACTCGGCACCCCGAAGACTACAACTGGTGAAAATTTGATTTAGGCTTAACTTCCCCTTTAAATACTTCGGGGAAAAACCCGTATCACTATGGCTGTTTTACATGAGAATTTCTCTCTCTCTCTCTCTCTCTCTCTCTCTCTCTCTCTCTCTCTCTCTCTCTCTCATTACAGCGGCCCTTACCTGGCGCGGCATGGTGCTCTAGTGGGGATTGTCATTGTACCAATTCTGCAGGCCGCAACAATTGTGCTGCTACTTCTGACTAGATTTTCCAACCCTGGCACCCTTCCCAAAGGTAAGAACTCATCTTATCACTGTGTGCCAAGTAAAATGAGTGTATGGCGGAGTTTGGTTGGATCTGAAGCTGGGTTATTCCAGGTGTTAGTGGGTGCATGTTAGCGGAGTTTGGTTGGATCTGAAGCTGGGTTATTCCAGGTGCCAACGGCCATCGTGAGTTCCGTCCCTCGTGCAGTTGAGAATTTACTCTTTAAATCTTGTTATTCCTTTTTTGTTGTGCTGCCCTATGCGCATGTGCAAAGGTGGTTTCCGATGGTTTACCATTGCTGCCTCTCACACAGTTGAACCTTGATGAGTGTGGTGCTGGTGGTGCCGAAATCTGAATTGGATCGCATGCAAAATTTGCACAGACAATTGAAAAAGAGGTGCGGCTAGTGAGACCTTTTCGGCTGATATACGACTCGTAGCACTGTTTGTCCAGGCGGCCAGTGGTTCTGACACCAGTATTCGATGAGTTGTGATGACTGGCGCTCAGATAACCTACCGGTATGCCCTCTCTTCCAATCTGTACACTGTCAGCAGACGGTGGGGACACGACAGCGTTATACTAGCAATGAAGAGGGCATGCTGAGTCAACATGTGGCTACTTCACTCATGCACTCTCTACTCGTGTACACAGTTATGGCCCTTATTTCCCGTGTGCTTTGCGTCAACATCATTTATATCCTGGCTGTGTGTGTGGGGGGGGGGGGGGGGTATTCTCGGGGATTGTTGTTTGCTCGTCAAGTTCCGAGCGAGACCTAACTGTGAATGGCTAGCGTGCTGCAGTGCGTTCCATCTGGTTTGGTCTTCTTCCCTTGGCTATTGTCTTGCAGAGCAACCGCCGTCCGATCTAGATGACGACTTCAAATATCCACTGCAGCGGGATGTCACCATTGACAACATTGTAGTCAAGGTCAAGTGGTGTCGAACATGCAACTTCTACCGACCTCCGCGCGCCTCGCATTGTTCGCAATGTGACAACTGTGTGGAGGTAAGGAGCAGGCGGCACTGTTTCATTTTTATTTTCTCTTTCCTTTCCTGTGTGCTGTTTTGCCTTGTTCCACTGCCCTGTGCTTGCCTCTGACTACTTCCCTTACCATCTGCAAGTATCCGTATTATATCTATCTGTGAACACACAGCACAGAGAGACAGAGACAGACAGACAGAGAAAGAGAGAGAGAGAGAGAGAGAGAGAGAGAGAGAGAGAGAGAGAGAGAGAGAGAGAGAGAGAGAGAGAAAGAGAGGGAGAGAGAGAAAGAGAGGGAGACTGGGAGAGAAAAAGAGGGAGACTGAGAAACAGACAGACAGAGAGAGACAGACACACACAGGCACAGATAACGGACAGAAAACGGGGGGGGGGGGGAGGGGGCAGCTATGTAGAGCAGCTCGGCGTTTCACATTATCTGTGAACAGACAGACAAACCCACGCACCATGGTTCTATACTTTTCTGTTTGATCTCTTGTCATAGTTTACTTGGCTCTAATAGTTGTTGTTTTGTGTGTGTGCTTGTGTTCTTGTGCGCGTGCGTGTATATGTGTGTATATGTGTGTGTGTGTGTGTGTGTGTGTGTGTGTGTGTGTGCTTATGTGTGTGTGCTTATGTGTGTGTGTGTGTGTGTGTGTGTGTTCCATTTGACATTGCCCGTAGGAGTTTGATCACCATTGCCCGTGGCTGGACAACTGCATTGGTGCAGGGAACTACCGCTTCTTCTTTCTGTTACTGGTCACCGCATCCGTTCTCATTCTCATCGTCTGCGCCTTCTCCATACTGGTGGCAGTCAAGGGAGCGTCCAGCAACAAGACCCAGTACATTGGATCGTATCCTTGCTTTGCATGTGTGTGCCGGAACGTGTACTTTTGGCCTGGCCTTTACCTTCGTGTGCTAACCTGTGCATCTTGTCCAGGGAATGTTTGGTGTGAGTATGGCCTGTACTAGTATCTTGTCCAGGCAGTATGCGCTGTGGGTATGATGTGTATCTTGTTCAGGCAGTATGCGATGTGGGTATGATCAAGAGTACATAACCCCCAAGAGTGTGCAACTCCAGCTATGGGGTCTGCGACGGCAGAACTTCACATCACGTGATGAACCCGTACACATTATTTGCACTCTGTGCATGATAGATACAGGGTTGTACGCAACCCAGCTTTGGGTACAACTCTCTTGTGGTCACTTTGCACTGTTTGCCAGCATAACCTTTTGAACCATGTCACGTGATGTGAAGTTCTGCCGTCGCAGCACAGCATAGATGTTGTGCAGGCAGTTGCACACTCTTGGGGGTTATGTACTCTTGCTATGATGTGTATCTTGTCCAGGCAGTATGCGGTGTGGGTAGTGATGAATGTGTTGAATACTGTGCTACTGTAGTCTCCTGCAAAGAAGGGGGGGGGGGGGGGGGTACTCGACTTACAACCGAGGTTTGCCTGCTATTGATCATATTGATATTGAACCGGTGTATCGAGGCCCCGGGTGTTGGGGATCAACTTACCACCTGTGTATACTCTGTAGTCTACTTCTGAACTGAACGCTGGCACGATTTCCTACTTCAGAGTATTTAGAACTGGAGTGTTGCTGGTTAGGAAGAGGAGGTTCAGCATTCTCGATGTATAGCTTTTGTTATGCTCTGTGCCTAGAAATCAAGTCCCGAGGTCTGTTTTAGTAACACCGTGGACAGCACAATGGAGTTTTGAAAGCAGAGGAACGGGGAGAGGGAGACACGCACACAGACAGAGAGAGAGAGAGAGAGAGAGAGAGAGAGAGAGAGAGAGAGAGAGAGAGAGAGAGAGAGAGAGAGAGAGAGAGAGAGAGAGAGAGAGAGAGAGAGAGAGAGAGAGAGAGAGAGAGAGAGAGAGAGAGAGAGAGAGAGCCACTGGTACTAGTACATCATTCTACACATACAGAATTGGTTGGAGTGTAGAAAAATGTGAGGAGATTTCGTGTCGAGTACAACTCCACAGATGGTTTTTCCCTGACTTGCCCGGCTCTCGTAGAATAGTCATGGCGTGCACTACCGGCATCCTGTTCTTGTTGGTGGTGTCACTGAATATGTTCCACGTCTATCTCATTGTACTAGGCCAGACGACCAATGAGTTTGTAAGTACAATGTACTATTTGCACTATTTGGAGTGATTGTGGTGTGTGTGTGTGCAAGCGGTCCCTGTGCTGCGTAAGCGTGTGTGCATCTGTTGGTACTAGTAACATAATATGTCTCCTGTCGTTGGTTGAGAGAGAGAGAAGGAGAGAGAGAGAGAGAGAAGAGAGAGAAGAGAATCAATTCAATTCTGTTGTTTTCTTTTCCCTATGAAGGGAGAACTGGTGCAGTGGTGGCACAAGCTTGACACTATGTGTTTGTGTGGACGTTTGTTTGCTTGTGTCCTTGCCATAGGTTGGTGGGCGCTTCTCATACAACCGAAACCCGTACAACCGAGGCTGGCGCAAGAACTTCATGCGCATATCCTGCAGTGCTTATCGTCCAATGTACAGGTATGGCTGAGCCTGATATCCTAATTTGACATGGCCAACTTTTAAAGGAGATTTTTGAAAGTGCTGGAGATGGGCCTGGCTCAAAATTTGAAAATTGAATTCTTTCGTTCTTGCAATTTGTAGTCAAGAGATTGTTTTGAGTGGTGTGTGATTTTGTAAGTTGAAGTCACTTTTGAAGTGGTTACAGTGGAGTGTTAGCTCTCTAAGAATGGTAAGGTAAAATTGCAAGTGAGCACCCAATGCCCACGCCTAAAATCCATTTGATATCTGTGCATCTGAACGGATTCCAACATGTTCAATTGATACTTCGCTCTACGCTACTACTGGGACAATGCAATCATGCAAATGCGCACAATTAGTTGCTGCTGATGGCGTGCGAATATTATGTGCCGCAAGATGCGGGATAGTTGCGTGTGTGTGTGTGTGTGTGTGTGTGTGTGTGTGTGTGTTTGTGTGTATGTGTGTATGTGTGTATGTGTGTGTGCCATATGGTGCAGTGGTATGTGCAGTCGATTTCCAATCGAGAGGTTGCGGGTTCAATTCCCGGCGATTATGGTCGCACACGTCTTTCTTCTCTTTCTCGGTCTCTTCCTGACTTTTCTTATTCTTCTGGGTGGTTACCAACAGCCAGTGTATGCCGGAGTATGTGATGTGGTGTGTATGTAGAAAAAAGAAAGAAAAAAAGAAAAAAATGGAAAAATGAAAAATAGGGATTCACTGGCCAGAAAAAAGTCACTTCAATCAGCTGTGTGGTGGATACCAGGCTAAAAATAGTGGCGGTCAATTCATCAGCCTTGCAAGCTGTTGAATGGTGTTATCCCAGCACAAGTTGCTATGTCTAACATAGCTGTTCGCTATCATCGCTTCCGCGATGGGCAGGTCTGAGGTGTGTGTGTGCGTGTGTGTGTGTGTGCGTGCGTGCGTGCGTGTGTGTGTATATGCCCGTCCATCCGTCTATGCACGTGTGTACGTATGTATGTTACTATGTATACCAGCTAGTGGCCTGATTGACATAGTTTTTCTAGAAAAGAAACATAATTGTTGTTGGTGTAAACACCGTGTTGAAATGGAGCGCCGTGTTGATTGTTTGTTCATTGCATGTACGGCACCTCTCATTGAGTCTTCTCACATGTGTTTTGCTCCCTACCTGTGGCAGGATGATCGACACATTCAGCGGCAATGCCATCGACCCGAAGGTCTCTCTTTTCTTACAGCCCAGCTCACCGCCCAAGGAGAACGGGCACTCGCCAGCACGGGCGTTAAGCTCCACTAGTGCAACGGCGTTGATTGATTCCGACCCTGGTGCTTCTTTGGTGAGTGTTCTGTACTGCTGCTGTTGGTGGTGCCGGTGAGGGTGCTGGTGGTGGTTGTTGTGGTGAGGGTGCCGGTGGTGGTTGTTGTGGTGTGGGTGCTGGTGGTGGTTGTTGTGGTGAGGGTGCTGGTGGTGGTTGTTGTGGTGTGGGTGCTGGTGGTGGTTGTTGTGGTGTGGGTGCCGGTGGTAGTGGCGGTGCCGGTGCTGCTGGTGCTTGCATGGTGCGGACTGCTGGTGGTTTATTTTTTTGTGCATGGCTCAGAAATGCGGAGGCAAATTACGGATTCGTTATTCCTCTTTTGTAAGGATTCGTGTGTTTAGGATGAAAATTGTGGCACTTTAGCCACTTGCGTAGTCCGGAAAGTGTGCTACTCCGGCTGTGGTGCCGGTCAATTCGAAATTTTGCTTTAGCCATTGACAAAGTGCCTGGTTTAGTCGAAATCTCGTGGAAAACATAGGACGTACCAGTATACAGTGCTACTATGCGCATACATGTGGATGCTATTGGACTTCCTCAGCCTTATGATTATTGGATTCATGTGTGCGTGTGTGTGTCTGCACATGTCTGTGTGTGGCGCTTTGTGTGTGTATGTGTTGTGTGTGTGTGTGTGCATGTGCATGCATGTATGTTCTCTGTTCTGTATGCACTCTCTGTGGATCGGGTCTGTGCGTGCACACACGGACGACTTGCAGAATGTAAACCTGACGAACAGTGATCAGTCATCTCAGCCCAGTCTGCTCTTCAATGGCAGCATAGACTACGTTGTTCCAGATACACCGACGTTTGCCGGCACGCCAACAATATCACTAGCCGGCGATTGCCCCGGCGATTGCCAGGTTCAAATTGCTGAAACAGCCAGCATCAATGATACAGTGTAAGTTGTAGTGTAAAGTCAACTTCGCTAATAACGACAGCGGATATAACGACAATTCGCGAATAACGACAGAATTCCCATGCCCAGAGCAAAGTCACACCTAACTGTAGTACATAATTATAATGAGACTTCGGGTATAACGACACTTTTCTGATGCCCCGCCGCCGAGTGTGGTTATAGGCGAAGTGGACTGTATGTTTAAATACAGTGTGTATTCTATCTTATTTCAAGTACAGCAAAATGCAGATTGTCCGAGCACGACTAGACTGACCTTGTTCTAAAGTCTGGTGCTGCTTATACTTCCCAGTACTTCATGATAGGGTGGTCACGGCTTCTTGGGATTGTTTCTGCTGTGTATGTGTGTTGCTGCAGGAAATCACTAGTAAGTACAGAAGTCCAGATCTAGCTTCTCGAATCGCAGACGCCAGCATCACTCCTGCTCAGCTTGCCACGTGCTGTGAGCTGTGGGTGCTGTGCCGTGCAACGCTGCGCGACACCACGTCAACTGCTGAGCACGGCGTAAGTGTAGTGCGGTGGTGGAGTTTAAACGTGCGGATGACACGCAGCAGCCAGACACACAGCCAGGTCTAGTGTGTGGAGTGTCATCACTGGTGACCCTGGTGTCTGTGCCCAGTAGTCTCGCTCTGCTCTGCTCTGCTCTGCTTTGCTCGGAGGAGTATGTGTGCTCGCACGCCTCATACTAGTAGTTCCGAGAGCAGGTTGTCTCTTGTCTGCTTTGACGTGCAAACCGTGTCCATAGATCACCTCCAGCTGAGCTTTGGCCGGATACGGTGGTGGTGCTTACACTTACAGACTGCACTGCAGGCTGGCGAGTGGCAGTGGCGCAGCCCCCGAGCCGCACACATGCAGCTCACTGCTGCGCTGTCTAGCTACAACAAGTCTGTTGAGAGTTGAGACCGAGGACATGCCAGCTTCCGCACCCATTGCTAGTACGCTGGTGGGCTGTGGCACTGTAGTGTAGGCCGATGCCATGTCGCTGGTGTGCCCCTGAAAGTCTTCGCGTGGCGCTTGCTAATTGAAAAGTGTCAGACTGTCTTGCTTCGTTGGCCGCACCCTTGCCTCACTGAATCACACGCGGTGTTTTGCCCGTGATCGTGGCACCTGCCAATTGAAACTTGGCAGATTCCGTCTTGCTTCGCTACTGTATATATGGCTGCACCTTTGCCTCGCTGAATTTCACTGGGTTGTTGTTTCCCCGCTGTCTTGTACTTGCTCTCTCTCTTCTTTTGTACCCCTCCCCCTTGGTTTTTATTTATAATGCTGCTGGCTCGGCCGTCTGCTTTGAAGCTCCTTGTTATTAATCTGAGAAAACAGAATTTATCCTAATTATTATCCACACTTCCTGGAGTATATCACTGTCCACTTTTTTTAAGGGAAGTGAACTTTTTTTATCATGCTCTCGTTGTCATTTTCAACAAAGAGGCCTATTCGTATTCTATTCATATTTATGACGGGCCAAGCAGAACAGGGTATTCTTCTCACGGCCCTCTGACATATTTATCGTTCATCATAATAATTATAAAACAGCACCGTGGAGAAATCGTTGCCGTGTGTGCGTGTGTGTGCTCACCAAGCCAGGCGAGCATGTACGATCTCTTGGATGGTGTGTTCTGCATGGTGAGAGCTGTGATGGGATTGGCTTCTACATGACTGTACAGTCAACTTCGCTTATAACGACACTCGGCGGGGCATCAGAAAAGTGTCCTTATTCGCGAAGTGTCGTTATACCCGAAGTCTCATTATACGTGTCACAGTTGGATGGGACTTTGCTCTGGGCATGGAAATTCTGCCGTTATTCGCGAATTGTCGTTATATCCGCAGTCGTTATTAGCCAAGTTGACTGTAGTACTAGTACTGGACCGGTATCCAGGTACAGTACAACCTGTCAAGGCGACCACCTGTACTAGAAGACCACTGAAACCAGAACCAAGGCATGCTATTTCCAGTCAAATCACCCTGGATAAGGAGACCACCTGGTAACAGAGACCACGTTTTGAAGGTCCCTTGAGCGGTCGTCTCAGACAGGTTTCACTGTAGTATTGGCTGGCAATGGCAACAAGCACGTCTTTTTGATATTCAAGTTTCATGCCAATCATCAGGCAACAAGTAAAAAGTTGCAACACAAGGGCAGCCGTTACGTTTGGTTGGTCACATTCCCAAATGGGAATCACTTGGAATCACTCGGAATCATTCTCGCCCGTTTGGTTGGTCAAAAAAGTGCGTTAGGTTGGTCACATTCCACATGATTCCAGAATGGGAATCGCTGAGAATGATTCTTTTTGGAGAATGATCATTCCACCTCACATGCTGGAATGAGCATTCTCATTCCGGAATCAAAAATGATAATGGCTGCCACGAGCCAAACAATGTAGCAACAGGTTCAAGTGCCTCAAATCATGCACTCAGAAGTACCATGACTCTCTCAAGGAAACTAGAGTCGGGTAAAAGAAAAGACAGCCGCCGTTCCACAACGACATCATGGAATTGTTATATCAAGTGATTCCTAATTGATTCTGGCGCGTTAGTTTGGTCAGGTGTTTCTTGCCGATTCCCATTCCAGAATGGTTGTCATTTACATTCTGAAAATGCCCAACCAAACGCAACTCTCTATTTGTGCACCGGTACATTTTTATTGTGTATTTTCTACTTATTTTCTACTTGTTTACATGACACAGTTTTATAGTGTATTTTAGGCCAGGTCAAAAAGACTGGCACAGTACAGCATATTGCAGGGTGCCCCAACATAGACTGATAGTGGTTATTCTCCCAACATAGTGGTTGTTCTCCCAACATAGTGGGTTTTTTCTGAAGTTTCGCTGTACGCTACAATACTGTACAGGCATGCACTTACTACTAAGATACCAGCATTTTACTACCCGTTCTCAAGTATATTACTACCCCATGCTTCGAAGTACATGCCGAAGTTATCTCTTAATTTGCTAAATCCTATATATAGGATTTTGGTCATATTTTTCAACTCAAAATGGGTGTGGCATGAGAATAGCAAAAAGTATGCGACCAATTCTTCCTTGCTAGGTCTTAGTAGATATCGAGAGTTGAATAAGATAATTTTTTCAAACACTAACATCTCAGGCTCATCTCCTTGCCCAATATTACTAAGGCCTGTGCCCTATTTTTCGAATCCTCCTATATATAGGATTTGAGATTTTATTGGACCTTGTTTTATCCCTTAAACTGGTAGTTTCATGACGTCATGACGGCATGTGCGATATGCCATCATGAAACCACCCCATGCCACACCTGCAATGTTCACATTCACTGCTTCAGTCCTTTCCATGACAGCAGCTGAACAATTATGCTCAAATTTCCAATTATTGCTGAAAATGGGTATTCATCAGAAAATTTTATCGCCCTATGAATCTAAAATGTAAACATTCATGCCTCAAACATATTTACAACTTCCATGAAAACCATTAGGCCAAACTAAAGAAGGTGTGTGGTTCGACTAACATGGACATTTTTTTTACGGGCGGGCGGGCGGCTTTTTTTTTAAATATATATTTTTAGTACATGTAAATACACTGTACTGCCTTTAGACACCCAGTACATCGGCATTATTACGCAGTGTTATGCCATACATGTTGTATAAAGGGATCACTGGCTAATACTTTGAAACATTGTGTAGCTCTGGAACGAGAAGAGAATAACTTCAAGCGGTGACTCTGACTGTCCAAATCATCAAGCAAATGAAGAACGATGCGAGTTGAAAGTAAGTTCGGGAACTACTTCGAAGTACAAATTGTACAATGTACCGGTACACGTATTGCTAGTTTGGTGTCGGCGTGCACGAATACATGGGCTTTTTCCATCGACGCTTCCTGTGCTTGCACACATGGAGCAGCAACTTACCGGTACAGGTGAAATATCGTTCCCAATACACGAGGAAAGTGCAATCTCGTCTGTCCTTCATCCCAAAACAGAAGGCCGTCCTTAATCTGGAACGAGGCAATCACTCTCAACCGGACGGTCACTTCAAAATAAGTCTCGCCAGTCTGCCGGTGGTCGTATCGAGTAGACTCTACTAGTACTACCAGCACAAGGCAGCAGTCGTAGATCTACCACTCACTGCACTGCACTGCAGTACGAGAACTACAAGTCAAGTCCAAAAGGAGCCGCCTGCGTCCGCAGACTCACGCTGCACAGCACGTAGACGTGGATGGACGTGTTCAGTCCACGTACGTCAGTCACACGACAGCCCGCCGAAAAAAAGTTACGGTCGGGCTGAAAAATGTACGGTCGGTCGGGTGAGTCGAACCACAGACCTTCTTCAGTGTGGCCTTATGCCGTTATTATTGGTCGTGATGACCAATAACAACGGCATAAAAGACACACATTTTCAAATCCTATATATAGGATTTTTGGCCAGCAAATTAAGAGATAGGCTTATTATCCCAACAATCATACCGGCTACGAAACTACAAGTGTAGTACCAACTGTACAAACCGGTTAAGTACTCTTGCTAGTACCACTCTTGCTAGTACCACTCTTGCTAGTACCAACCAGGGAGTAGTACAATACCAGGGTATTGTACTACTCCCCGGTACCAACTGTACACAAGACCACACTGTCCCATTCGATGCACAAGGCGAGAAACAGAGGACTGATATTTTAGAGCAGTACGGCAAAATATGTTCCGCAAGGAGAGGAAGACAGAACTAAGAGAGATACACGGCTGCCGTTGGCAAGATCCGAAATACTTCACAGCAGCAGGCACGGATAGACAATGAAAAAGAGCAGCTAAACAAAAGACGAAATTGCAGGCAAGCGGCCGGCGCTTCCGGAGTAAAACACGCGCCTGCTGCATGCTAACCACCGCAGGCGCAGCAGATACTATTATTCTCTGTGAATATAGAGAACGAGAGGAGAGGTCCGACGCAGACAGATCGCTGGTCATACAGGCAAGCAAAGGTTTAAAAAAGAAATCAGCATGGAGCACAGGTAAAAAAATATAAAAAATATCCTGCCACACCTGAATGAAACAGCACAAGATACGTTTAGTTCCTATCACAAACGAGAGAGAGAGAGAGAGAGAGAGAGAGAGAGAGAGAGAGAGAGAGAGAGAGAGAGAGAGAGAGAGAGAGAGAGAGAGAGAGAGAGAGGCATAGATCTTAAAGACGTACACAATAAAAGTCAACTATACTACTACTAATACTACTAAATAAAGCGCAGCAGGATACTGTAGTACCCACATATTATGGCGAGTACTGGTGTCGCAAGCGCAGATTGCCTAACGGGTGCAATACTGGAATGAAGGAGACGGCAATTTTTTGTTTCTCATGCTGAAGTCTGGTGGGTTAGTCGCATTTCTGACAGGTTGATTTTGCCTAGCACAGCAACCCATTACTATCTTTGCACTGTGTGCGTGTGCGTGTTTAACAACAGCACAGTACCAGTAGACAAAGAGGAATAAATATAAACAACGGGGAACGCACACATGCACAACACACACCGCACGGGGAGTTGGGAGTTACTCTACACAGCGGTGGACTGGTGGGTCGGGGGGGGGGGGGGGATGCTGCCGCAAACGCAGCAAACCAACAGAAAGAGTGACAGACACGACCGGCTAAAATGAAAGAGAGAAGCAACAAAGTTGCCGCAGAAGGGCCTGTGACAAGAAGTGGACAAGGCTACACAGAATGTGTCTACGAGAACGATGAACACAATCATTCAATTGCAGAAGAAATGAAAATAAGAGAAAGAAACATCCTAGAGTCCAAGATCCACGCTCGTCAAGCAACCAGCCAGAGAATATGTTGGTAACTTACCAGAGAACAGTGCGTCGAGATGACAATCCTGACGCCACCAGCTTGTGCAACAGGCTGATGAGGTGATACGATCACTACACCACCTGTTGGCCTGAACATCCAGCTGACGACGTGGCTCCAGCGTGATCAGACCATATCTCCGTTCTCTACTGGTTGGCCTGTGGTAACCGTCGGCTCACCTGCAGCTTTACTATCCGCAGCAGCGGGTTCTTCTGCTGTTGCTGCTGTGCTAGTGCCCTCTGTTTCAGGGTCAGCCGCAGCAGCAGTGGTGGGCGTACTGTCACTTCCACTGCTCTGCTCCCCTGCCTCCACCACCGCAGTCTGCTCAATCGGCGTGGCTGGTACTTCAGCAGCTTGCTCAGCACTTGCATTAGCAGGTTGCTCGTCAGTAGCTGACTCAACAGCAGCATCGGCAGCAGCAGTATTCGAACCTTCAACGGTGTCTACAACTGCAGCAGACTGCTCTTCATCAGCGATCGTATCTGCTACCACAGCCGCATCAGCAACCGGCTCTTGCTCAGCAGCCGCCGCAAACACTGGTGCCTTCGCATCTGCATTAGCACCGGCCACTGCTGTTGCCGCTGCTGCTTCTTCCTCCACAACTGTCTCATGGCCGGCCTGGGCTGAAGCAGCAGTGGATGACGGTAGGTCAGGCTCCGAAGCTATGTGGACAACAATAATAACAACAGAACAAGAACAGGAGGAACATCACACAGGAAGAAGTATGTGTGTGGTGACACCACGACAACACGACACAGACTACTACTTCGAAGTAGTCACTAGACTACATAAGCTGTTGACTGAGACTCCCTCGATTTAGGCTAAGGCCTGTGGAGAATCCATAAATACAAATACTCAATCTGCGGACAGCATGCTGTTTCGTTCTTTGTGAACTCCTCAGCGCAGCACAGAAAAAATGAGGCCGAGCCCGATAGCAATGAAAATAAAATTAAATACAAATACAGACCTGTGACTGCAAGCAGCGTATACGCTCATTTATCTTCCGTTAATCTTGCACACATTCTCAGGAAATTCAGTATCTTCCGTGCAACACCTCATACAGCCACGTGCCTAAGGCATTTATCTTCCGTTAATCTTGCACACATTCTCAGGAAATTCAGTATCTACCGTGCAACACCTCATGCAGCCAAGCGCCTAAGGCTAGTCCCCCCCCCCCCCCCCTCAAAAGCTATTAGTAATGCTGCTACCAGCAGAGGTAACAAGCAGCCCATACAATAAACACCTCATGCAGCCAAGTGCCTAAGGCTAGTTCCCCCCCCCCCCCAAAAAAAAGCTATTAGTAATGCTGCTACCAGCAGAGCAGTGGTAACAAGCAGCCCATACAATAAGCCAGCAGCAGAAAAGCATGACTGCAGTGACTTGGGACTATACAAGACCGGTGCGAGTGGATCAGCGCATGTCAGTCAGACACACACAAACACTACAGCATTGCACAGGCAAGCAGGAGCACCAATATCAATACGTACATGCCACAACGGCCGCCGCGCTGGGCAGGGAGTATCTCGGTCCCTCGGGGATGGCCGCCTCACTCGACGTGGACGGAGATACCGGTGCACTAGGCTGGCGTGGGCGCTTCAGCGACGATACTTTTCTCTTGACCATTGCCTTAGCTATAGCAGCAGCGACACACACACACACAAATCAGCATTCAACGGAACTGGATGAAGCCGGCGACAAGACATGACACTGGACAGAGGAGCTGGACTCAATACGCCATGTGCCGGAAACATACAATAGTAGTGCTGGATGCCTGATCCGACCATTGTTCACAAATCCTCCACGTCGGTGCGTCTTACCCATTGCTGCGTCTTACCCATTGCAAGTACAATGCAGTGCACTGTATACCGGCAACTGGTCAACTCGACAATGTGTCCAGGTGTGAGCAGAGCAACTTACCGTGGAAGACCTGCTTGGAGAAGAACTCAGTGAAGCGCTGTGCATAGAAGCCGGGCTTGTGTACCGACACAGTGTCCTACAAGCACACACACACACACAGACACACACAGACACACACACACACACGGACGCACATAAAAAGACATGTACCATTGACATTCTACCGTGACCCCATCAAATAAAGTACCATGTACAGTTTGACATAGAGGGTGCACTTGGAGGAGTGGTGCCCTAGGGCTGAAACCTTTCTACCCGCGGATACCCAAGACATGTAATAGTCTCTCTGACATACTTCGAAGTACTACAGCTCACTCCAGGACTGTGCACAGAAGCGTTCAGATCAACACCCAGCCACTCCTCCGCTGGATGCTCTGATCCTCGGTGCAACTGCCAGTGCGCTTGTGCTGCTGAGTTGCTATATGTACTTCCGATTCCTACAAGCCGCAGCGCTGGGACTCCTCGCTATCAATTCAGCTGTTCTGGTCTGACTTAGCAGACATCCAGTACACAAGAGGAGTACCCCACCCAAACGCAGAATGCTCAAAACAGTCAGGCGAGACTTTCTCACCCTGCAGGGAGAGATAGGAAGCTGGTACGTGACCATGTCTCCTCTCTCCCCACAGTAATACAGGAAAACTGTCTAAGACGACCGCTCATACGACCTCAATATTGTGGTCCCTGTTACTTGGTGGTCTCCTTATCCAGGGTCATTTGACTGGAAATAGCATCCCTTTATTCTGGTTTCAGTGGTCTTCTAGGACAGGTGGTGGCATTGACAGGTTTTACTGTAAGTGCTGTATTCACTTCAGGTAAAAGCAGAGTACATAAGGGAAGACTACAAGGCTCAAGCTCACTGTGTGTACATGCATGCCCGGCCAGACTGAACACCAGTCATGCCACTTACCCCATCGTGCAGAACGGACTTGAACGAGTGTTCGAGCTTTTTGCGGAATCTGAGTTGGGCGCGAGGAGAGACACACACAGTAGTGACAGTAGCCAAGTGAACGGGCGAACCAAAAGGTGAGAGAGGACACAACAGCAAACAGATTCAGAACACACAACGGGGCAGTACGGCAATATTGGCAATGCAGGTATGTTCTCTTGCTGCTGCTGCTGCTGCTGCTGTTGTTGTTGTTGTTGTTGTTATTCTCTTCCACTCTATGTAAGCATGTGCACTTTCATTTAAAAAAATTAAAAAAGGTCACACAACACACTATATACATGTACATACATTGATACACACATCAAAGAAAAGGGAGGTGATTTGCACAAAGCAAAACACCCCCTATCCTTTATGCCACCAGCAAGACAACACCCCGCACACCAACACACCGCACACCCTGCACCCGCACAAATGAAAGCACATGCACCAAAGCACAAGAAGGAATCATCTGAACACCAACTTGCAGTGAAAACTGACCTGTAGTGTTGTAAAATATCAATGATGCCAATGTAAATAACCAGTCGATCTCCTTTCGCGTTCCGCGCCGAGATCCCACCATCACTGGACCATACACACATGCACAGTACATCACGACCATCAAGATCAAAAGCAACACGGTCAATAGCAATCTACTTCCAGTCCCAGCCGCGCAAAGCTGGAAATCGATGCTTCCATGTGGCCAAGTGATGCCATGCACATCGACACTGCCACACAGTACCCGCTTGCCCCTCTGAGTGAGGCAAGTTGTGCAGCAGGATGACTGTCAAATCCGTCAGCAGCGACCAGCCCTTGACAAAATCAAAACTGGCTGCCTTATGGCTGGTGGGCTCTTACACAGTTACAGCAGATGTACAGTAAGTATCGTTTATAAAGTGACCGGATATAATGATATACCGGTTATAGTGATAGAACACGTCAAAATCAAAATCAAATCAGAAAAAATACAGCTAAAATATCACTATATACACTATTATCGGCTATACCGATATATCGCTTATTGTGATGGACTTCAGGAAGCAAACCATATCAAATGTACAGGAAAATATCGCATATAATGATCAAGAGTGATGATCACACATGTCCGTTTCTGGCTGTGCTACCCCTCGCAATGTGCTCCCTTTGTATGCTCTTGTCCGTTTCTGTATGCACATGTCCTTTTCTGGCTGCGCTACCCCTCGCTCGAGCGCTCCCTTTGTATGGTCTTGTCCTTTTCTGTATCTTTCTGCATGCTCTTGTCCGTTTCTGGCTGTGTTGCCTCTCACGATGATGTTGCCAACTCACGTACACAGCCACTCATGACTATTTCTGGCTCTACGCAACTCGTTGGACACCGAGTAGATCTACGTGAGTACGGATCCAGCTCAGGCTTTTTTTGACGCTGAAGAAGCAGCCATGCCACATGATGTATCGAAGTATAGTTCTAGTACATGTACAGTCTGTACTCGTACTGCACTGCCATGCACTGCTCTGTGTCATGCACCGGTACACAGTCCGCGGAGCATGCATGCACTTTCAGCATGCTTTTTCCAGCGTGTACGCATCATTTCATGTGCAGTCATGTGCCATGTGTCGGTCAAACATGCAAATCGGCTATAGTGATGCACCGGATATAGTGATAAATTTTCGAAAATCAAAGGGGCACGTTATATCCGATATTTACTGTACTACATTTTGCTCAGTGCAGCACTAATCAATGAAATCTGGCTGCGTCACCCAAGTATGCGTTGGGCGCTGCACAGCCCTAGGCCTGCAAACATTGGGCTGCATGAAGACACACTCGTTCACAGCAACTGGTAGCCTACAGTAGAGGCCGCCTATGGCACATTTAACTGTAGACAGTAGGTACTGCTACTGCTGCTGCTGCTGCCCCACAAGTAAATTGATACACATCCAGTTGAAATCTGACCAGTACAGTGTGCAGAAGTGCCTGGCAGCACATATCTTTAGAAGGGAATCGGGAATCTCAGCACTAGCAGACGTCATGGCACTATTCTTTTCGGTGCAGCACAGAGTGAGTGAAACAAGAGCATCATGGTACGCCAAACTCACGGTATCCGATAAGGCAGTGCCTCGACCTCCTCATGCCCTCTCTCCTGGACAACGCTGAAGAACTGCCGTCTTGTTGGCGCAGATCCCTCGCCAAAACTGCCAGGACGATCGGAGAGCGTGTGGTCAGGAGAAGCCAAGTCCTGCATACACGCCACACAGAGGTGATGAAAGTAAACAAATGAGAACTTGAAAAAGAGCATGTGATCATGTACTATGAATGTCACGGGCGCAGCAGCCAGTGCGGCTGGTCATGATACGGCACAGCCAGTTGCTTCACTGCCATGTCAATGAGGGGTTGACAGGATGTGAACAGTACCACACACACACACTAGATTAGTCTGACCAGTCCACAGAGAGTGCTGCGCACCCGTGTACTGACAAATACACATTGGCGTGGTGAAAGTCTGAGCTACAGTGAACATCTCCCTCTCCCTCTTTCTATGTCTGTTTGTCTGTCTGTCTGTCTATCTGTCTGTCTCTTTGTCTCCCCCGCACACATCTAACAATACGACAACCCGGGAGAAGCATGCATAGGCAAACTCACTTGACTCGTCGCTTCACCTCTGGAACGCAGCTCTTCATCGATATTGTGCACGCCCATGAGCAAACTGTAATCCATGATCTTGAAGCTCTCCAGCACCTGCACGAGCACAGCAAGCACACAAGATGAGTTGATGGGTTAGCCCTTACAGCACCTACAGAAAGGTTCAGTTTACACAGTAACTACTACAAGAGCAGGAACGGGAGAAGTAACACATCCACATTCAACTTGAGCGTGTGTGTGTGTGTGGGGGGGGGGGGGGCACTGCACCCAGTCGGTATCATACAGCACCCCTCACTAGATTGTCCCAAAGAAGAATTAAAAGTGCGGCAACTATTTTCCCCTACCGTGGCATCTCTCTTCATTGACTCCATCACGGAAGTGTACTTGTCCGAAGAGAGAAAGAAACCTTCCGGGTGGCGCTTGCGGAAGTCCAAGTCCTTCAGAGTAGGACTCTTCTTCGCAAGCTCTTTGTCTGACGCAAACCGCTTGAACGTTGAACCCTGAAAGGGAACAAGACACAGGCAGAACACGTATCACCACTGATATACCGGTCTTCCACACACACAATTCTTGCCACCAGAAATGACAAGTATTGCAGCAATTTCACCACAATGCAGTGAGCGAGTGAGCGTGTGCGTGCGCGCGAGAGCGAGAGATAGAGAGAGAGAGAGATTTAGATAGAGATAGAGATAGAGAGAACCGCCAGAAGTATGTCATCCATAACTGACCTTCAGATCATATTTTTCATGATAATTGATACCAGAGGGTAGCAGGTTATTCATGACGACGATGCGAATGTTTCCGCCCAAGTTCTGCAAGCAGAAGAAAAGCAGCAACAGCATGTCGAGAAATAACAGGTCAGTTCAGTGGGACATTGACCACCATCTACATATTAGCAAACCACATAATAATATGTCAATGTGGCAACAGAAACAGCAGTTGCACTGCTGGACATACTTGTACATCCATGCAGCCAAGTACTGAAGGTGACCAAAATAAACGCAGGGTCAGCAACGAGATCTCCCGTACACACGATCGTGGCTTAACACTACAATAGCAAGGAGCAGGCACAATGGGAGCAACAACAGCGGCACAAGCCTGAACCACAGAGCCAGCTCTTTCCAATGCAAGCTAGCAGTAGCAGCAGCAGCAGCAACAAACAGCCATCCAACCAATACATACCTGGAAGGTATATAAACCGTAGAACTTTGGCAGTAGCGTCCGCTTGTTCTGGACTAGATTCTGCAGACAATACAGGACATACAGCACACAGTAGCCGACAACATACAGCGTCAAGTTTACAAACACATCGAGGCCTATAGGAACCAAATCAAAGGATTAACATGAACGCGGAAGACCCAAAATATTTCAGGATCAAACACCAGATCTGAAGTATAGAACCATCAGCTACAGGATATCATCAAGAGCATACCCGCGTACAAGTAGCCGAGTTCTGCAAAGTTCTGAAGACAGCACTGTAAGCCACACTCACCAGGTAATAGCCAGGTAGTAGATGGCGCAGAAACGTTGCCTCCTTGTGATCGACCGTCTTGATGATGAACTCGTCATCGTTCGTCTTATAGAACACAGAGCCACTGGCACCGGGGTTGCTCAGTTCAATCAGCTGTTCGTTACATAACGATACCTGCAGGTGGCAGACAAACACACACCATTTCCAGCTCAGCCCTGTACCCATCATGTCATGTCTGACTACTTACTTAGCCTTGGACAACACAATGGGACGCATGCATCATTTTCCCACCATTAGGTTTTGCGGGGCAAGTCTACTACAACGGTACACACCTTGATACCAGCTCTGCGTACAAGGTCGTGAACTTCGTGAGGTCATATCCATGAATATACTAGAACGGGTTGTACCGGCCAAGAATAGGGTAACTTGCCCTGCGAAAAGGTGACGACCATCTTAGATGCATACCTCCCATTTAGACACCTTCAAAGAGGTCTTCACGGTGGCACTCGACAATGGCATCAAATTCCATTTCACATGCATGTAGGCAGAGTGAAGGAATCATAGACGAGGAAGCTGAAAGTTCGACATTCCTTTCTGTAGCCATGTGCCTTCTGTAATCCTATGGTCAGCACAGACCCAATGACTGGGTACACATCATAATCAGAGTATACAGATCAGCAGAATAGGCACTGCCCGTCACGGCCCTGCTGATGCTAAACAAGATACGCCACTGACCAGAAAGTCATCGGCCTTGATGTGGAATTCTTCACGGAAGTGCCGAAACGCTAGTGGCGCATACGTCTTGAACTTGAATGAGCCATAGTCGTGGGCAGGTGTCTGTCCGCTACCATCACTGAAGGCAGGAAACAGAGGAACGAAGGCATACAATATCTAGTTCAGTATCCCACACAGGAACTCTGGAGGTACCGTATTTCCCTGAATATAAGTTGCACCTGAAAGTGGGGGTGAGACTTATAATGGAGTGCGACAAATAATCAGGGAAATACGGTACACTTCGTGGAAACACTTCTTTTCCCCCCATCTGCAACACTACGATGTGCGGTGGGTCCATAATAGTATGCATGACACAAGAAGGGAATTCCACTCATCATTTTGATTCAAGGACGTCAATAGCAGCAGAACTTACGGTGCAAACTCGACTTCTTCTTTCTCGCTGCAGTGCACCACGAGCAGATCGCGCTTGGGCTTGTTGGTGATCTTCCCAATCTAAAACAAAGACAGTGGGAACAAACAAGATCAGCATGTGGGAGTGTGATGGATTGGAAACTATCCAAGTTCACAAGCAATGTGAACTTGGGCAGTAAAGTTGTGCATCGAAGCAGATGAAAATTAATATAATATAAAATTAATTATGATTATGTCCTTTAGTCCAGTCTTCACCATGGGTGTTGCTTGGACAACACCAGCCAACGTCTGGAGCAAGCGAATAGCAGAAACGATGCTCTTGACAGATGCTCATGAAGGTTTTAAAATTATAATAGTGGCGGCACTTTTTTAATACGCCATCAATAACACTGTCCAGAAAATGTATAACGTGGAAAATACTTTGTTCAACCATAATCTCATAATGCAGCGCATTATGTGATGGTGAAGCACGTAAATGCATTGTAATGAATATCATGCATTATGATGAATATCATGCATGCTGAAGCCACTGACCGACTGTTCAAGGCCCAGTTGAATGGACAGCATGAGAGTGTTCGTCGGCGTCTGCAACGGACCAGAACAAAGAAGACAAAAACCGTAGCGTAAGCACAAAAGAATTACATGTAGCCATAGCAACACCTAGAGATGTGGCACGTATACGCAGTCACCACATGCACAGCAAGGCAGTGGGCTTTAGGAATAGACGGAAGCGGGGCTAGTGTCGGTGGTGGGTACTGGTGACACCACTGCACAGCTGACTGACACTGACCACATGACACACACGGTGAGAATGACACCGCAGTACGAGGATACGGTGATACTGCACCAAAGTGTCGCCGACAAGATCAGAGAATGAAGTTGCCACTCGCCAAATCTAATAGTCCACGGCCAAGAGTGTAGGTTCAGCTCGCAAGCGTTCACTTCTCTCAAGTGGAGCAGACTGTCACTGTCACTTGCACCGTATAAAGAGGGCATAATACCCAGGGTCATACACCCTTGACCGTATCAACAATCAAGCGCACAAATAGCAAACAAAATTGCCCAAGTATACAGAGAAATGCTCATAACGGCGCACACTAGACTACGCCAATACAGACGAAACGTGGCATTCACGACTAAAGCGGCGACAGACAGAGCTTAGTGTCCACATAGTTCCAGTTACGTGATACGCAATATCTTACAAGCAGTACTACACCAGAACCAGCACAATAGCAGTGCGGGACTTATGTCAGACTTTTCCCAAATAGGACCAACAAAGGATCAAATTTCAGCGTATGCGGCTCTGTTGGAACGACACAAAGCAAGCACTGAGCTCTCTGGTTCAGTACCTACCCAACACGATATAGGAAGAGTGGGATATTGTGTGCACACTCCAGGAGGTGTACACTCTACCTTGTGTGGGTTACCACCACTTCAAGAAGTAAACTGCCAAGAACTATCCAGCAACGATCAGGGGACACATGCACGTAGAGAAATAAAGGCGTCCAAATGGCCATCAAAGCATCCTTCCACACCCCCTTCCTCTTTAAAAAAAATAATATTGGTGATCTAGCTCACTACGAAGCCGAGACCTCAGGTCAGCCGAGTGCACCAGGTCTCACCACCCTTTTGCTCCTCAATTCTAACCAGATTGGAACCCATGGGTGCTTGTTAAAAGAAAAGAAACGACGCATCATACCTTCTTGTACGTGATCACATCGCCCTTGACGCGCCGATGGCCGAGCTTCTCAGATGGCTTCTGTTTTTCACCGCCCTTGCCCTTACCTTCAGCACCCTGCAAGGTCAGCACAGCACAGTACAGACACACATCAAGAACACAGCAAGCTCGCTAAGGACATTTTTTAACTCAAAACAGACGGGTAAGCTTGTCACAACAAAACGGGAGTAATTTGCGTTCAAAGCATGTAATGGCTTTGCCTGAAGCACAACTAGTCAGATCACCTACACAGATGTAACACTAACGGCGAGCAACCCTGAGTTGTCACCAGATAGAGGCTGCTCGACAACTGGGCCGTCTTTGTAGCACACGTGCACATGCACACGCGTGCACACGCGTACACACACACACACACAGCCCCGCGCAAACATTGTACGGCCTACAACCAGCCACGGCCAGACGCCAGACACATACATGGCCACTAACTTCACAAAGAAAACAGTGACCCCGTGCACTACACCTTCATAGATACACAGAACCAAGAGGTCGTTTTCTGGAATAATTTCATTTGGTCAGCCAACCTCTGTGCAATGACCGACAATAGTGTCTCAGTGAGCTTTTGAAGGGACAATAGTAGTATTCTCAGTTCAGTATGACTGTACTAGTGTGAGTCAGCAGCATAATATACTGCTTTCCTAGACCTAGGTCTAGGACGTGTGGATGTAGGAATGACCTCATCTTGTATAATCAATCAAGCTCTCCTCGCACCAGCCTCTAGATTTAGAGGACTAGACTCGCTGCCACTGGAGTCTACAGACGAACCAGGGTGACCTCATAAAAACAAAACTCCTTTCGGCGTCTCCAGGAGACACACCATAGCATAGGTCAGCACTGGCATGGCGAAGTGAGTTGGTATCAAGAACCAGCCAGCAACCATCGGATGCACTTCGGTACAAACCAACAGAGCTAACATATCCGTACTCAATGTGAAGCGTTCAAATTTTGAATTCAAGGCGATACAAATAAATTGTCTGCCCTGCATGCAGCATGCCACGTTGAATGAGTAATTTGCTAAACGGTGCCACAATACACACGCTCGGTGTAGATGACAGGAAATTTGCTTTAGAAAAGAACACCAAACAGTCAAAAGCAAAATGTAGTTCTTGCCACGGTTGGGAAAATCAAGAACATCACACATACGCCCCCAGCAAGATTTCGCATACCTCAGTAGACTCCTGTTGCGTGGCAAGACGATGAGCCGACATCCCTTGCCCATCTCCTTCATCACCCCCATCAGGCGGGCGATTTTCTGCATCCATGAATAATAGCGCATGAACAGAAATTTGCTGCCAGAACCGTTGCCAGAAGCCGACTAAATGTTTTCACCCACCATCAGCGACAGAATCAGCCATGGGTTTGGACACACAGTCACAGGTGGATCAATCGACTGCCAGACAACAAATAATAGGCCACGCAGCTAGTGAAGTAGCTCCAGAAATTACTCTCAATATAAAACTCTTCCCGCTCTAACAACTCCACAGTCACACACAAGTCCAAGCAGAGACGCCTTTCTGGTCTGCACAAACTGGGCCACAGCAACGCCGGGGGAGAGAACACAGATGAAAGGTTGCCCCACACGGTCCACATGCACGTTCTTGGTGCTGCCTGCTGGTACCTGTTGAACTCGGCAGTGCAGAGTTTTTGAAAGGCACGCTACAACTTTGCTGAAATACGCATTGCGCGTGCGCGTGTACGCTTTTGTTCTCATGGAAACGACCAAACTCGCTCACCTTTCGAGCAGTTTTCGGTATTTTCTTCCAATTTTCCGGGATTTGGAAATTTTCTCTGCGCCATCCAGGCTTGTCCCGGCCGTATCAGCTGAAGCGTGGGTTCAACAAATCGATCAACTCTCGATGCTTGTCTTCTCCAAAAACAATATTTTCTGCAGTGCCAAGTCTTGATCTTGCCGTTGTTACTTTGATTTGGTTTGCTCTTCACTCAACCTAAGATCTGCATTTCTGGCCTATTTGACCGGTCCGTTAGGATCCAGAGTTTGCTCTGTGCTATACTGAACCGAGGATGTTGCGACGTGCGATTTCCTCTGCGACAGCTCTATGCAGGCCGTTGTTTGTGCCTCGAGCTGCTTCGTATGGGAACACAGCTTTGCAAGCACAAGGCGTGGAGACCAATGTCGAAGTACCTGCAGTTCCACCGGTGAGCTAGGTAGTGAAACGTCGTCCAAGAGGTCACCGCATTTCATACTGGTGCTTTGATCTGAGCGACTTGAGTTTGGGTGCATGGAACTTCGTTACATTATTACTACTACAGTATATGTACCTATCTTTTCCGTGCGTCAGTAGTGGGGTGGTGCTCAAGATGGGGATGGTTTGGGTCTGGAGAGTAGTACCGGTATTAGGTTGCAAGCATCTGAGTTACGTAGTGAGCAGTGGTGAGTAGATTCTAGGGAACACATGCGTCTTAAAACTCTTTGACCACAGAAGCAGTTCGTATAGATCTTCCATCTCACTATCACCCTTTCATCAGCCGAGGCTCGGTTCTGTCACCGATGCCCATTCCGCGCATCGGGTGAGTAGAAATCGCCGCGTGATGCCTTTCTCCCTCCACAAATCAGTATACATACTTCGAGGCATGCCTACCTCCCGAATTCATTGTTCTCTGTCCACCCTGCACTCCACTCGTTGCGCACACATTCGCACACTCGCACGTGTACACCACTATTGAACACGTCAACATTGCCAGTGGGGGCCACCACAGCACAAAAGAGAACTCTGTGCACAACGGCAAAAGAGGCCGACCCTGTACTCGTCACTCTCTTTTATCCCACACCATGCTCCCTCGTACCCGTTCCCGGGTGGACAGAGAACACTACTCTGCTAATTCTTATACTGTGACGGCAACCGCAGAGAAGTGACATATCCCCGAGCTGTAGAGAGTGCTCAATGTCATACACAGAGAAGTGACATATCCCCGAGCTGCAGAAAGTGCTCAATGTCAGAGACAGAGCTTAGAACATAGCAGACTGAGTGGAGGACGTTCAGGTTGGTTGTAACTCTGAGTTTCATGCCGCTAGGCAATCATCAGACGACTGCACTGAACTTACTGTATTACTCCCTGTCTCTATCTGTTGTCCACCATGGAATAGTACAGTGCTGGAAACTGAAATCCCACCCCTGAGTGGTGCATTCACATTCTAGCGGTCTCTATTTCGTAGTGTTACAATCCCGTGTTGGGTCTTTGCGATGTGAGCGCACCGCTCAGGGGTCGGATTCCAGTTGCCAGCACTGTAGTCGAATGTTTTTTGCTTTGTTTTCGGACAAAGAAGCCATTGCTTTTCTCCTGCCTGTGTTTCCCCATCATTGACAGGAGGATGTAGCGCTGGTGAACGGTGTGCCGCGCCACTACATGGTGCGCACGGTGCGCATCTTCTCGCCGTGCAAGAACGCCATGCAGTCGGGCACGTACGGCACGCACCACTGGCGCATCGAGTGGCCCAACGAGGAGCGCTGGGAGAACCCGCTGATGGGCTGGTGCTCAAGGTGAGTGGGGGTGGTTGCACGCCGTCATTATTTTATTTTATTTTTTAGGCCACACGTTTTTATTTCTATGTTTCTCGTCACCTGAAAATCTAAAAACGTATGCGAGAGGTGGAAAAAAATGACCGAAAAATAAAGAAAGTTTATTAGACCTTTGTTCACACTAAAATCCACCAATACACCATGCAAAATAGCATCCATAGTTAGCAACTAGTATGTGGTAGGAGCTTCTGTCACAATCTGAGCATGTGCAGCTAGATTGCGCACAAAAAATGCCTTCTTGCATCATGTGTCGCGCAGGCCAGGCCACATTATGTACATGTGCATGAGTGTGCTGGTCCCCACATGCACAGTCAGTGCAGCACAGTTTTTTTTTCTTCCAGACTCCTGAATCGTATGCGCGCGGGTGATGAGAAACATAGAAATAAAAACGTGTGGCCTTACAAGGTACACAACTCGCTGGCAGGTACATGGGGGGGGGGGGGGACTAGCATGGGGTGAGATGGTGCTGGTCATCATGGTCATTACGAGTACACAGTAACACCTGCCCTAACCGGACGCCCTGGGTGCGGCGGAAACTGTCCTGATATGACAGAGTTCCGCTTGATCCAGGGGTGCATGTTCGATACACATCATTTTGATGCAAGAAAAGTTGCCCGGTCTATGCAGGATCCGGCAAGCACAGGTTTTACTGTATCATTGCTGGCTTACCTGTGTGCACTGGTTGCGCCTACTGTTGCGGAGCATGAAACCCAGACCCTGGTTCACACGGACTACATGATAAAAAGGCATGCACAGAAGATTGGCAATTCTACAGGTGCACTATCCCTCCTGGAACGATGGGCTGGATAACGTTTGCCTCCAGTGAGTGCGTTTGATTATGCCCGCAGATCCATTCATGAATCGCCCCTGCCTATTCACTTTACCCCATGTGAATAGGGTGAATGGACTCCGAATCGATTCCAGGGCTCATGACATGAAATCGAACGGCGAGATTCGATGAATCGATTCAAGTGCGTAATCGGACACACTGACTGTACGCTTTAATCAGCAATGTGCCTCCTGGTACTATTGATTCCCTAGACTGTAACCTTGTCATTTTCAGGGTTGACGTCTCTGCATGCTTTTCGCTGCCTGTTTTGTTAGTGTCTGTGCCGTATGGAAGCGTTCCTGAGTGTGATATTGCACGTCCAAATGTTGTTCCTTTTCACACACACACACTGTGCTAACATGGCATTACGGAGATTAATATGGTGCACACAACTTCTTGAACGCAAACGCGTGTGTCTGGCCACTCAGGTCCGGAAATCACCCAGGTTGCATATCTGGTGATGAGAAACGAAGAACGTCATTTGGACGCGAGTGTGTGTGCAAGCGAACCTACTCAAACCTACAAATAAAATTATGAACACGTTCGCGATCGCCAAATAAATCCTCGAATGTTTCAAAAGAATGCTGAAAGCCCCCCCCCCCCCCCCCCCCCCAAACACCCATGCAAGGCGCTGCGCGAGTGAGACGATACATGTCTGTGGTTCCAGGTGCTATGATTGGCGTGACTGGACCTTGGGGGAATTTCACTCCCTACACTTGGCGGCCTGACGCGTGTGGCTTGAATCTTACTCTCTCTATTATGTTGTGTGTGTGTGTGTGTGTGTGTGTGTGTGTGTGTGTGTGTGTGTGTGTGTGTGTGTGTGTGTGTGTGTGTGTGTGTTGTGACTCCCGGTGTGTGCAGTGCTGACATGCACTCAAACCTGTGTGTAGAGTTTGACACGAAGCAGCAAGCGATAGACTACTGCATTCGGCAAGGTGAGCTACCAGTGTGCCTTATAAATCTTATCTGCCCTTCACCCCCCCCCCCTCTTTTTTCTCACGTTTTAGCTACATGGTGTAATGAAAGCAGCGTGCAGCGCATCTGGCCAAAAGATCTCAGTTGCACACTCTTGGTTATTGACTCTTGCTGTAATCTTTGCTTTGAACCCGTATATCACGGATTTTCAGGCAAGCTTGAGCCCTGCACTCTTATGCTTGCAATCGGTCAAGTCCAAGAGTATTATTATTAGGCCCAAACAAATAATGACCTTGTTTCCGGTCGCCCGACCGGGCCACTTTTTCCCTAATTCTGAAACTTTTTTTTGGTGCCAAATGTATACAAACGGTGGCAATGCCATGTGTGCAAGTGCACTCAACGAGTCATAACTCAGTCAAATCTCAACCGAATTCCACAATCAAAACACCTACTAGGTAGCAGAGATTCTCAGCTGTCGGCTCGAAAACCTCCGGGGTCGATACGAGCTAGAATTACGGAGCTGGAAGGACTCGAACGGTTTGCTTGATTTCTCAGGATGTACGAAAACAGGAATACACCACATGCTGTACAAGAACAGTGAGTCAGTACGCAGTCAACTAACTTTGACATTGATCCTTGCCGTGATATATGTACAATGTACATGTGTAGGTGCTCTTGTCCATCAATACCACAACAATTGAGGAACCAAAATAAAATATCCAAAAAATGTTTCATTCCGGCCGACCGAGTCTCCTTTTTGAGGGGTTGCCGACCGGAAACAAGCCTATTTTTTGTTTTGGCCTTATTATTATTATTATGCACTTACGCGTCAATGTCAGCGGTGGTAAACCGCCCACAAATTCGCACGTGCTGAATGGACTTGGGAATTGGGAAATGAAAAAATAAAAATAAAAAGAGCAACGACAACAGAAATAGAAATACAATACAAGACGTACCTGCTAAGGGGCACATGACAGCATTGCTCAGATTGAACAGAGGACGCAGACACAGGATAAAGGGCATTGTCGACTCCGTTTTGAGAATAATCCAGTAAAATGGTGGCAGGTGGATGCAGATCCACGCACTACGTTAAGAGAGGAATTTTGTTGGTATTTAAAAAAAGATGTTAATTATTATTACTGCAAGAGTAATAATAATAGTAATAAGAGTCCAAGAGTGAATCACTGAATAATGTGAATATGATTGAATTCGACCCAGTCACTGGTCTTCTGGAAACACTCCAGTCACTTGTATAGCTGGTTGTAACGCAGTTGTGCGACCTTTGACTGTTGTTTTTTACACTTATTTCAACTGTTGATCTTGATCTGCACAGGATACCAGTATGAAGTGGATGAGCGACAGGCGGCGACGAAGAGACCGAAATCGTATGCCGCCAACTTCCATTATTCCCGACGCACTCGCATTGGAAACAAATAAGCCTGTCCGGATGGTGGATGTGCCGACATCTGTCTTATTTAATGCTGCTGCTGGTGCTTAGTGTACATATTGGCGTGTCCTTGTTTGTTGCTTATCCTGCTGGATGATTTGTGTGTGTGCGTGTGTGTGTGTGTGTGGTGTGTCTAGGTGTACGAGTGGATCGTTAAACTTTGATAGTGAATTGTTGACATCACCCTATTGTATCTGTATTCCATTCTTACTTTCCTTTTAAATTAGTGTGTATAATTATGTTCTCATTTATCTGAAGATGGCAGCAAGTTAGCTGGCTGTCTTATAGTCCTCTGCACCCGGTGTGCATCGTGTATCTCTTACTCCAGCATTCTATTTACCCGTATTCTCGCTGATACTGTATTGCTTTTTACCCAGGCTCCTTTAGAATCTTAGGATAGTCGTTCTCAAAGTGTTTCTAGGTTGTGTTTTAGACTGAAGTGGATTGCATGATTGTTTCCTTTGCGATGGTTTTCATTCGTGAACTACACTGTACAACTATTCAATCTTTCTTTGTGTTGTGTGCAACTGTTAGCGTGGTATGACAAGTAGCTTTGTGTATTGTTTCACCTCCATCCGCAGATCGTGGAAGCAAGCATGGGTTTCCTGAATGAGTTTAGTGTATTTCAACAGTTGCTACCTGCGGGTGTCCAGAAAGTATTGTACTGGTAGAATACAGAACATAACAGGCGTGCAGAGTTGCTGAAAGGATTCAAGAGCACCAAGAAGCACAGGCTGAGGTTGTCCATGTTCAATTGTTGTTCCTGCTGAGTCCTTCCGTTGAAGGTGCTATACGTAGGTGATCTAGGTCCAGCTTCCAGGACAGAATCAGAAGATCCTGTATGACGTGACTTGCATGTAACTAGTACTAAAATGTCTGCAGCTGTGTCATTTATTATTATTTTATTAAAAAAAAAACTAGTACAGTACTGTAGCTGGATCGATTTAGGGCGCGTTTGGTTGGTACGAACTAGAACAGGATTCACCAGAACAGCGCGTTTGGTTGGGACTGCACCTGTTCTGGGTCGGCCAGAACATGTTCTGCTTGCTCCGGCCTCGGCCTAGCGCCTCCACTCCAGGCCGGAGCAGACCGAGCAGTTTCACTTTTTCACAGTGAAACCTGGCAGGAATATCGATTTTGGTCCCAAATGATCACGTGCATACGCTTTTGGGTTGGACTCGTTGTACCGTACAAAGTGACCATAGTGACCCGTACACATTTTGAAGAATGCGCCAAGTTAGATACATTTTTCCACAAAAATGTGCTCTGTTTCTGGAGTACCGTTTGGTTGGCATGAGGCTGCTCCATGTGCACCAGCTGTTCGATCCTGTTCTAGATCGTACCAACCAAACACACCCTTAGCTTCAGCCGAATCAGGAAACTCGAAAGATGCATTGTTAATAATAATTATTTGTTATGTATGTGGCCTGGAAAGAAAGATACAGCATTGTTCCGGAGTATACGCCACGCTGGAGTGCAAGAAGCCGCCCTGACTTTTTCTGGGTGAATTGCTGGTACTTATGGTGCGGCTTGTACTCCGTAAAATGCGGTAACTGACCACGAGCTTGATGGAACCTAGCTAATTCTGCAGTGGGATGGAGCAGGGCGGGATCGAGGCTAGACCGGTCACGTACCCGGCATGCATGCACACACGCCCACACACAAACACACACGCTCCACCAAAAGTAATGAGTATAGATGTGGAATTGCAGAGTTTGCATACCACTCCATTCCGGTTCATAGGAATAGGCTTGAATAGAATGTTTTACAAAATACGATAATAAATCAGATCAGTGGAGCCTATCCTCAATTCGCCGATGATTCGCAATTCTGGATCAGGCTGAAGAAAAACTCAAAGGAATGTGTCTACTGATACATGGTCAAAATCAACCACGCAGATTTTTGTTATGAAACTTCAGAAAGCAGTGTCTCTTGTTTGAGTAGAACACAAAATAAAATCCTTCACTTCAACACAATGTGCTTCAGAATCAGATATAGGGAGAGATCAAGTTAAACATGAACGGACACGAGACCGATGAGTATGTCAGTTCTAGACTGGTTACAATCAACGCAGAACTAGACTGCAAATGTTCAGATAGCAGTGTCTCCTGTTCCTGAAGAAGCAAATAGAATCCTGCACTTCAACACAACACGCTTCGGATGTACGGGCCGCTAAAGACTTGGTTAAAATGAACGGACGCGAGACCGATGAGTAGACCAATGAGTATAGATCGATGAGTATGTTGGTTCTAGGCTGGTAGCAATCAACACACAACAAGACTACAGATGTCCTGGAAGGCACCACCTGTGGCCTGCTGAAATGCTTCACCGTGCATCAAGTAGCTGAAGCGAGCTTGACGTTGACTGTTACCGGTTTCATTCTGAGCAAGGCGATACAGAACCGGGTGTGACGGGATATAGGCGGTTCACTTTAGCACACGCTCACAGACACTACAGAGGATTCAAAGGTGCGCAACTTCAGTCTTCTTATCCTCGTCCACACTCGATGGCGAGTCAGACACAGCGCCCATATCTTCAGCGGCTTTCTGCTGCTCATGCCACATACTAGCATAGACCCCGTCGGCGGTTAGGAGGTCATCGTGGCGGCCACGCTCCACAATGCAGCCATTCTTCAGCACCAGGATCTGGTCGGCGTGGATGATGGTGGAGAGGCGATGCGCTACCACCACCGTGGTGCGTCCCTTGCAGACGGTGGCCAGCGAGGACTGGATGTTACGCTCGGTGTGCGTGTCCAGGGCCGACGTGGCCTCGTCGAGAAGGACAAAGTACGGTGCCTTCAGGATGGTCCTGGCAATGGCCACGCGCTGCTTCTCTCCACCGCTTAGCTTCAAACCTCGCTCGCCAACGACCGTGGCGTACTGATCTGGGAATGTCAAGATCTTCTGGTGAATGTCAGCAGCCATGGCTGCTTCCTCTACATTCGAATCGTCGGCGTCCATTTGACCGTAGCGAATGTTATAGCGGATCGTATCGTGAAACAGTACGGTGTCCTGGGGCACGACTCCGATGCACGAGCGAAGGGACTTCTGCGTTACGGTGGAGATGTCCTGCCCGTCGATCAGCACCTGGCCCGTCTGCACGTCGTAGAATCGGAAAATCAGTCGAATGATCGTGCTCTTGCCTCCGCCGGACGGACCGACCAGCGCCAGTGTCTCACCGGGGTTGACCTTGAACGAGATGTCGCGCAAGATCGGCTTCTCCGGGTTGTAATGGAAGTTGACGTGCCTGAACTCGAGGCCGCCGTGATCGACTCGCAGTGCTTTGGCACTGGGCGCGTCCTCGACTTCTTGGCCGACGTCGAGCAAGTCGAAGAAGTTCTCCATGTCGATGTAAGCCTGCTGGATCATGCGGTAGTAGGTGCCAAACCAGTTGAGCGGTGCGTACAGCTGGATGATGTACGAGGCGAAGAGGACAAAGTCTCCGGCGTGCAGTTTACCCTGCACAATGAGATCTGCGCACAGGAAACAGCCGCCGAGCAAGCCGGCCGTGATCAGGACGTTCTGCCCACTGTTCTGCAGGTTCAACGTGGCCTGAGATATCCATGAGCACTCCTGGTACTTGCGAATCGTGGTGTCGAAGCGATCCACCTCGTACCGCTCAGCATTGTAATACTTCACCGTTTCGAAGTTCAGCAGTGAGTCGACGGCCTTGGCACGCGTTTCGTTGTCCATATTGTTCATGTCGCGCCGGAACTTCGTTCTCCATTCCGTCGTCCAGATAGTGAACGAGATGTACAAGGCCATGGTGAGGAAGACGATGAGGCCGAACCAGGCATTGAACGAGGTGGTGAAGTAGACAATGGCAATAGTAATGTCCACAAGCGTGGGCAGGATGTTGAACAGCAGGTAGCTGAGGAGGTTGTTGATCGACTGAGTGCCGCGGTCCATCATGCGCAGCACCTCGCCGGTCTTGCGGCCCAAGTGCCAGCGCAACGACAGGTGATGCAGGTGCTGGAACAGGTCCACCTGGCACTTGCGGCTCGTGTACTGCTGCACGCGTATCCAGAAGAACGTGCGCACGTTGTTCAGCACGCCCATGCTGCCGAAGCCGCTGCCCTGCAGAAAGCGCAGGCCAACCCAGACCAGCAGGTGGCTGTAGGGCATGCTCAGGCCCGTCAGGTGGTTGACTTTGTCCTGTTCTGCGGCCGGCGATGACGTGTTCACCACCGGGTTCGTGAAGTCGTTGATGATGTCTCGGTAGTAGATGGGAACATAGAGGTTGACCACGCGGCCAAGTCCCAGGCACGAGAAGCATATCAGCACGCGTAACTGCAGGCCAACACTGCCCTTGGGCCACAGATACGGCCAGAGTCGCTTCGTCTTCTTACAGAAGTTGTTGAACGGTGATTCAGCGCGGCGGTCGGCTTCAGGCGACGACGGGCCGCTCTCCGCATCTTCAATACCGTCCGAATCCGAATCAAGGTCAGCATTGATGAGAAGACGTTCGCCTGTCATTCGGTACACCGGCGAAAACAAGCCGAGAAGTAGCGAGGTGAGGCAGCCTGTGAATATCGAACAGGCCAGAGCGCGGTGGACGCTCTGCTTGGCGAGCAGCTCGGTGCCATGTGCGGTGCTGCCGTAGAATGCGTTGACGACCATGCCAATACCGAGTATGGACGAGAGCGTCCAGGCGGCAAGCAGCAGGGACGAGTGGTGCGTGGCGCGCCGCACAAACGCGTACTGCCAATCCCGGTGCAGGAAAACGTACATGGAGAGGTAGGTGAACATACCTACTACGTCCCTAATTAGAACAATACCATACACCTTGCGAGGAGGCATAGCGCCGGTCACAGCACCGTCAGCCAGAAACAGCAGCGCCACCAGGATCACGAGCGCGCGTTGAATCCTGCCCCATGACGTCTTCACCCGCAGGCGCTTCGGCAGACTGTTGCCTTTGCTTTCATCTCCGCAGCAGCAGAGTCGCCTCAGCAAACCGCCCACCGTCAGCACACACAGGCAGCTTGCCACAACCACCTGCTCTCCACAGAAAGGCACCTCAGTCCATAAATTGGACCGGGGACAAAATGGAACATCCATCGATTATTGGCACCTCCAATTGCTGCTCGATTGTTTGTTGAGAAGAATCGGTCAAATTGTTTGGCCAAATGGCTGAAGGTTTAGCTCAAGGACGGTGCTTTTAGGGTAGTATTTCTGCTGACACGATCCATTCACAGCGAATCCCTCAGAGGATTACAACACCTTTCTCTCTCTCGTGCTCCCTATTTGCGTAGATGGAAATTTCTCGCACTTCCAGGGTCTACCAAATTTCAAAGAAAACACCAGAAATATTTTGGAATGTATACACATACACTGACTGTACTGATTCAGTTTTCTCCACCCACGCTCACGTCCAGCTAGCACAACCTCTACATCTGGCTTCTGGCGCGACGTGACACGCACTGGCAACTAGCTGAGGTCGCAATCAATCGCGCACAGCCAGGCCAAGGAAAGACACCACTCTGAAGCCTGTCAAGTACATGCCACCACCTCACTCCACAACAAAGTCACGGATCAAGATTCAAGAAGGACGCCCCACGCTTGGGCGTCGTCATCTTCAACAGCAGAGTCCAAGAAATTACAAAAAAAAGCTACAGCTGTAGTTGAAAACAGTAACCTCAGTCCTGTGGAATTAAATTATAATTTATTCCCGTAGCTATGCAGAAGACGTTACTTCAGTAACGTCTGGCGCTAGCCAGGGTCCACACAGCTTTAATTTGGTATTTGTTTGTTTGTGTGTTTGTTTGTTTATTTGTGTCACGCCTGGCGCTATCCCGTATCTGTCCCGTATCTGTCCCGTATCTGTGACTACAAAGGCTCTACAGGATTGTACATAACAGCTGTCCACAATTTTTGCGGGCTCCTGTATCTGTCCCGTACCGTACCAATATTCGTCGTATTATGTATACGACTCCCTGATGTAGAGCCACTAGAGGGAGATTTGGAATGAAATAGGGAGACGAGGAGGAGATTAAATTAGAATAGACGCCGAATAGGTGATAGGATGCGTCAGCACAAACAGCGTCAGCATAAACATACATGTACTTTGGAAGAGAGATCGCGTCGTCTCCAAAATAAGCGTGAACGAGCGATTCAGCGCCGGTCACAGGAAACGTCGGAAGAGAGATCCCGTCGACTCCAGAACGCCCGTAATCGGCAGAGTCCACCGGTCCCAGGCAACGTCAGGACAGACATCCCGTTGAGTCCAGAACGCCCGTAATCGGCAGAGTCCGCCGGTCCCAGGCAACGTCAGGACAGACAACCCGTTGAGTCCAGAACGCCCGTGATCGGCAGAGTCTAAGCCGGTCCCAGGAAACGTCAGGACAGACATCCTGTCGAGTCCAGAACGCCCGTGTTCGGCAGAGTCAGCGCCGGTCCCAGTGAACGTCAGGACAGACATCCCGTCGACGCGCAGAAAAACTAAATCTGCAGCCTCTTTTGCCGTCGGACAGGATACGTATTATAGGAGACTGTAAAGTTATGTAATGTCCAAATTTCCACGTGAGCAGCAGGTCACTCGCGTTGATTTTTCGACGTGCGAGCCAAATAACGCGAGCTGAACTTTCGCGTCGCAGACATCCCGTCGACGCGCAGAAAAACTAAATCTGCAGACTCTTTTGCCATCGGACAGGATACGTATTTTAGGAGACTGCTAAGTTACATGTATGTAATGTGCTCCACAGGCAACCATGCATTCGGCGTCGTCATTGGCTCAACAGGTCAATGTACATGTCTTACTACAAAAAGGCCAGAAAATCCGATTACTGTATTAAAATCAACTAATTTTCGCTGGCGATTTAATTTCCCTGATTTCGCCGCTTGGTACCAACCGGCCAAAGTAAATCACAGGCCAAAGTTTGTCATATAGGAAATTGATGCATTATTGAGCAATGGATGCATATGAGAGCAAAAATACCTATCCATTTCAAATTTGACGTAAAATTGCGCGTCACGTCGGAAATAACGTGCATCCTAACCTCTCTAATAGAGAGGTTTCTAATTTTCTCATCAGCCAAAATTTGTTGATTTACAGTGTAAGGAGATAAAAAGAAAAGAAGGAGCAAACCAAAAGAAGATAATTATTAGAGAAATAACAATCCGCAATAAATTCTGCAAATACTTTTGCCTCAGTTCTTATAACATGTACGATGAGCTAGGCAAAAAAGCATAAAAGCATAGCGTAGGGCCCTGAGCTTCCAAGCTCTCTCGTAGATCTGATGCGATTTTTTTAAATACTTTTGAGTTTGGTACAAAGATACTTCCAAAAGCCAGCATGATGAACTATTGTAATACATGTACTAGTAATAGTCACAACACTTGTCGTGTTGAAGTCACGTTAGTTCATCATACAATTATTGTACTATCTTTTGAAAGTAACTTAGTTTGTAAAGCTGAAAGCTAGGCTTGCATGGGGACTGAAACGTGTAAATCTCGAACAAAGGCTACATATTTTGTAGTTGCCTTTCAATGACATGGCAGCAGTATACATGACATTGACATTGTACTCCCTGCAAGATGCATCTTTTACTAGTAATTATTAATTTTGCATGGCAATCTGGCCTGTGTGTCTCCAGGATAGAGCTGATGACAACAAATTCTTATATGTGCAGCACCCAGTTACTAGTGCAAGCAAATCTGGCTCTCATGGTCCTGCTACGCGAAGCCCCCGCCATCACCACCTGCTCCACTAAACACACAGACACACGCAAACCCTAGCCGAGAAGCACCCACCCCCGCTTCACGATAACAACCACCACCATGTGGCAAACGGGCAGTGAGGCTAAAACTTGGGGGGGAATCCCCTGATTGCTCAACGAATGAGATAGAATACTCCATGTAGTTAGTTAGAAAAAATTGGAATAAAAGATAACGCAACTGTTGTTGAGAACTAATTGTGAGGTTTTGCTGAAGCAGCTGAGCGGCTGCACAGGTGCGCTTTGTTCACGAGGCATATCAAAACGGTCAAGAAGAAGGGTAGCACAGAAAGGCTGGACTGGAAAAGCCAGGAGACAAGAGAAAAACACTGAAAGTGACACAAAGGCGAACGCCTTGCAAGACATTCCGAGCGCCTCATTGTAACACTACGGGCAGAGTGCAAGAATCCAGCGACAGACAAGTGGACCAGGCAGCAGCGACGACGGTGACGAGATGAATAAGAAAAAACCTAACAAGAGCAAAAGCTATGCCAGGCAGAATGCCAAGACTACATACTCACCCAAACACACATACTCACCCAAACACACACACACACGCAAACGGAATACTAGCCAACACGCCAACATGCACACGCACACTCACACACAGCACCCGGCCACGTGCGCAAGACACCACACACTCTCCTACGAGGTGCACGCCGTCTTGTGAAGGATAAGCGAGTTCCGCGTCAGATGGTAGTACGGATACAACGAGAACACTAGCGACAGGAACAAACTCAGGCTTTGCAAGTAGTCTGAAAACGTCCACAGGAAGAAGACCTCCGTCAGCAGTAGACAGCTGGCAAATACCGAGTAGCACATCGGCACATGCAGTGCCCAGGTGAAAAGTAACTGTGAAGTGCACAAGCATAGGAACAAGCACAAGAAGGAAACACAGGATGGTATTGTCAACAATCGAAAGTCAAAACCCGAGAGTACCGGCAAACAAAGTGTGATACATATCAGCTCAGCCGAAGCCATTTTCAGTTTCTTGTGGCCAGAGGCGTGTTGGGCAGGAATAGCTTTCTCCATCGGTATCCGTCGAGTCATGCTAACACCAGCAACAGTTCTCGGCTTCACACACACACACACACACACACACACACACACACACACACACACACACCGCTTTCTAGCCATACCAGTAAACCGGTTCGCGTTATACTCAGCTAGACTATGCTTTACAAATCCGTAGGAATGCCACTACCCTCATAGGATCAAACGCGCAGATGCAGCTCCTAAAGTGGTGGGAGGTGAGTAGATCAGACCCACTACCAAGTGATCAAAGACTGAAGAATCCCATTCGTTGCATCCACGTTTCCCTCGTGCCAGGCCACGAGTTCCTAATTAACTGTGATTTGCAGCACAGCTGGAAAGCGTCCAATCAGGACTTGAACCTGGTATCCTCTGTTTCTCAATAGCGGTCTTCAACCATCCCACTATACCTGCCTGCGTATACCAGCAAAGAATACTTGTAAGATGGTGCGACCATCTCGCTCTGGCTTTTAGAAGTTCTCCCAGCACATTATTCCTTGAGATGTTTCCGAATTGAGTACTGATGTCACAAACACTGGTTTCCCAATCAATGCATATCCAGCGGAATGCACTTTACAGTGCTGGCCAAAGAAATCCAACCTCATGAATAAAATAGCGCCGGGCGCTATGCAGCCCTAGTACTACACATACTGGTCTTTGGACTCTTTACGTAGTGCCACTTTATTCATGAGGTTGGATTTCTCCGGCCAGAACTGTAGTATGTACTCTTGATCGGACATACTGCGGCTTAGTAGTATGGACAGTGTCCGGAGCACGGGTGTATTGATACATACTGAAGTATGTTAGGATAAGAAGAAGTCTGGATACTAAGGCGAGACCAAAAAAAATAGAGATTCCCGGGCCCTCCCGCACCAAAATCGAGCCAAAGCCAATTTTTTTTTTTTTTTGAACAGTTCATACATGTACAGTACTGATCATGTGGGTAGATCTGTGACGTGGAGTCACACAAACCCGGGCTTGTACGACTCCCTGATGTACAGATCAGGGCCATCATTGGCCGAAATATAGAAAAATCGAAAGGGTAAACCGCGTATACTGTTGTCTGTAAAAAATGAATAAAAATTACCGGAAAATGCTGCAAAAAAAGTTCAACATGGCATGCATACATATAGTCATGTACATACATGGGAAAAAATTAAAAAATAAAATTTGCCCGCCCGCACCAATTTCCCATGGGTCCTGCCCGGGAATCTCGATTTTATTTTGGTCTTGCCTAAGGGACCATCGCAAAAGTTCGCAGAAGCCCCCGAAACGAAGACCGTTAGTTTCGGGCCTGACCCCCCCTCCCTCCCCCCTCAAACGAAACGACAGTCACAATATGGGCTTCATTATTTCACTTGGATGCTCACAAATAATAATTATTATAATATACTACACAAGCATTGTTGTATCAGTGTGTAACAATGTACAGCACTTTATAAATGCAACGATGATATCACCTTGCAGTGGGTGATCTAAGAACGAGAACAGCTAGAGCTATGCAGTTGTATCCTTTGAGCATGCTAATCTATATCAGCTCCTACATGTCGTCAATACATTTTTGAATTGAAGCCCGGTTTGCGATTTTCGACACCGACTCCCTCCCCCCCCCCCCCCCCAAACGTATGCTCTTCGTTTCAGGGGCTTCTGCGAACTTTTGCGATGGTCCCTGAGTACACTTTCATGCTGGCCATGCTGCTGAACATGGGATGGCGTCATTCAAACCACATGGCATACACTACGCCTCCCCGCTCATCATTTTCAAGCAGCTACAGTACAGTACATTCGAACCCCATGGCATACACTTGTAACCTCTACATCGCCACAGCTACAGTATTCTTCATCAGGGACTTGTAGCATCTTGACAGACCACATGGGCGAGTGGCACGTGAACAGATGGCTATCCATTCTAGACCACATGTAGTAGACTGTTGGGGCAGGGCCAATTTAGGCAAGCTTGCACATGGCATTTCTGGTGTGTACCACGTTTGGGATGAGTAGGTCAAAGCCACAATCACACGTTTTGCACGTCCCGCGGGTCATACAGAACTTTCGAATACGGGGTCGACTCATGTATCGCCTCAGGTACTATGATCTGGTATCCTCTCTCACAAGATATACGCCTCCCTGCTCATCATTTGCAAGCAGCTACACTACATGTACATGTACTTACATAGAAAGATTCATGGCCTTCATCACCCGGTATTGCCACCGTAGCGTGGCCGCCCGACGCCCGGAAGACGCCTTTCGGATGGCGCACCACTGACCCATGCGGCCAGGAGCTCATCGCAGACCACCTACAGCATACACGAGAGAACAACCAAAAAGAACACGGACTGTGTTTGACAACTACAGACACTGTAGTACAATCATGTACATGTAGATTCAGTCGTGCCACAGTCAGCAAAACATAGAATATATTGACAGATGCAGAATTTGTATAAAACTTCACTCCTCAAATCCAATAACGGTCTCTTTTATAATGGTGATTCAAATCCATTGATATTTCACCAAATTTTCGGGCCTGGTTTTATACAATGTGTAAGTGGTTGCGTTGGAGTTTGCGGACAACAAGAAAAGATGCGGAATTTGCAATAAGAAATGTGAAGTAAAACCTGGTGTCAGTGGTCACCCATGGGATAAGCCGAATGCGGTCATTGAACGCAGGTGCTCTCTGAAGCCAGGTCGAACCTTGGACAATCCCCACACGTGGTACCAAAAAATAGTGGTCGTAGATATCAGGTGATTACCAAGCCTGGTGGTCTCTGGACTTGGACTTGCTGACTTCACTCATAATACGAGAGAGCTTGGAAGCTCAGGGCTCTATGCTATGCTTTTTTGCCTAGATGACCTAGACAAAAAAAAGCATACGGATGTTATAAATTCATATAAATTTCTCCTTTTGTTTTAGACATAACCTGGGATTCGAACCCGCACTATCGCCCTGCATGCATCCCCCGATACACTTCGCATACATACTAATTCTTCCAAGTTGCTTCACGTTATGATCTTGCATTTGAAAGCCCTATTTGAATATGCATTGTAGCCAGCCGTCTTTGATGGCACGGTACGGGACAGGTACAGTCGAGGGTAATAGTAATACGACACCGTCTACCGCCTTGATGACCTAGGCAAAAAAAGGATAGGGATGTTATAAATTTTTCAATTCTCCTATTTTTTTAGGCATAACCTGGGATTCGAACCCGCACTATCGCCCTACATGCATTCCCCCATACACTTCGCATTCATACTCATTCTTCCAAGTTGCTTCACGTTATGATCTTGCGTTTGAAAGCCTTATTTGAATATTGCGGCCAGCTGTATGTGGCCAGCTGTGTTTGATGGTACGGTACGGTACGGGACAGATACGGGATATCGCCAGGCGTGACACAAACACACAAACACCAAATTAAAGCTGTGTGGACCCTGGCTAGCGCCAGACGTTACTGAAGTAACGTCTTCTGCATAGCTACGGGAATAATACATTTATAGCCAAACTGGTACCTGGCCTAGAATCATTACTGGTCACAATGAGTATTCATTGAGAGTCTAAATTATCTACCTCCAAGAGAAGGAGACAGAGAGAGAGACAGTGAAAGAGAGAGAGAGAGAGAGAGAGGGGGGGGGGGGGAGGGAAGGAGAAAGAGAGACAGACAGACAGAACGGGAGAGAGTCTAAATACCTACCTCCAAGAGAAGGAGAGAGAAGAAAGAGAGAGAGAGAGACAGAATGAGGGAGGGAGAGAGAGAGAGAGAGACACACACACACACACACAGACAGAGAGAAAGCCGAGCTGGTGATAACATACGTGTGCGGCGCTGTTGTCTGCCCGAGCTGCACCTCCCAGAAGCCCAGCTGCACGGCACAGCGGTACAATGAGCCACAGTAGTGCGCTGGTAGGAGCTGAAAGGAGAGCATGAGGAACGAGTTGAACAGAATCATCCCAGTATGCATCCAACACCAGGATGGCTCTAGATAAAGGTGATCATCCTGCACCAACACAAACACAATCAAAGACAGAATGATGAATCAAAGACAGAGAAAGCAAGGTCAGGACACTACAATATGATGCTCCTAAATCTTCACCTGAACAGAAGTTACAGGGTAAGCGTGGCAATGTTTCGTGTGTGCGCACATGTCTTGATCGCAGAATCAAAGACAGAGGAAGGAAGGTCAGGGCACCACAATGCAGTACTCCTAAATCTTCACCTGAACAGAAGTTACAGACAATAGTGGAAGTGTGACAATGTTTTGTGCGTAACACACACATGTCTGGATTACAGTATTCAATTTCAGCTTTACACACCGAGTCTACAGCTCGCTACTGGTAGATTCTAGACTGTATAATTCAATTGACACCTTGCCTTACACACTCCGGAAACAGGTTCGAAAAATTCTTTCAATACCAGAATGAGCAGAGTACAGCCATATGTATAAACGGACAGCAGTAATTCGTCGTCAGGTCTGCACTCATGAACCGCTCAATAAAACCGCGGTAAGGGATCACGTGCACAACTCTGTGCACAAATCAGCTGAATACAGGCACCGGGCACGCCTGGGGAAACGAGAGCATACGCCAAATGCATACACTCTGGCTGGCGAATAAGAATTTTAGCCTTCAGCTCAGAAAAGCCAAAATTGGATTCCACGGATTCTGACGACGAAATTCTGCGCAATCGAGCGGTGTATGCATATGGTATGGAATTCTGGAGTGGACGGAATTGTGTGTAATCGAACACTCCCAGTACATATGCACAGAAGGGCAGAAAAGCAACAACGCTAGTTATGCGTTGTAAACAAAAAAACCCAGTCTGTTTTGTCTTTGCATGATCCAGAGACTGACAGTGCTTAAACACTGCAAGTACAGTAAAACCTGTCAAGGCGACCACTCGGATAAGGCGACCACCCGTCCTAGAAGACCACTGAAACCAGGACCTAGGGAAGCTATTTCCAGTCAAATGACCCTGGATAGGGAACCACCTGGTTACAGAGACCACCTTGTGAAGGTCCCTTGAGCGGTCGTCTTACACAGGTTTCACTGTACTTGTACGTGCACAGACAGCATCCACTATCAGTAGAGAACAGCATTGGTACACTCACTCGGATTATTTGCATCGGCAGATAGCCAGCGTAGTACGCCGCCAGGACGGTGGAGAAGATGATCTGCTTCAGGCGCACGAGATAGTCTGACCAGAGGCACTCTACTTCCTGCCGCACCCAGTCCGGCGCTGAGACCATGGGGTGAACAGTACTGGCCGAGAGCGATACGCTGGGGTAGTTGCTTATGACAACCATTGCCTGCGGCGTCCAGGATCGCCATGGGAGCAATGTCCGCGAGAGGAGCGAGGACGTTAGCACCTGTGCGCCAGAGCGGGGCGGACTCACTGTTGGAGACCAGGATGACGGCGCTGCGCTTGCTGCTGATTCGGGCCGTAACGACAATGGCGATCCAGTACTCGGTGTTGTTGTTGTTGGTGGTGCTGTTGGTGTTAACGTTTGCCTTGCATCACTACTTGTCTGCCTGCAGACATTAGAGCTTTCCCTTGCACTGGGACTAGAATTACACGATGCAGAGACGGGACTTTTCTCCGGATGGTGCCGATGCCGTAGGTTTTCTAGCTGAGTAGTCGGCGTGCTGGGCATGGCTGATAGCAACGCTTCCGTGTTGGATTGGTTCTCAGGGTCCGGCGGCCCATTCGCTGATGAAGGTGATGCTGATGACAGATCACTGGGTCTGAGACTGTGCATCGAGCTAGGATAGGAACGGTACTGGCGCAGCTGCTCCTGGTGCGGGTCCAGCGTGCAGCCAAACAGTGACACGTACAGGAAGATCCTGATAGGGAGCACAGGCACACACCACCATAGCATACAGGCAGGCACATGTACACACACATACACACATACAGACACGCACACACTCACACAGACACACACCAACGCCGACACCATGAGGGAGAGCACAAAAGCAACCCTCCAGTTGCAGTGCACTGCACGTGAACAAGGTGGTTCCTGATCACAAACACACCTGTTGAACACGACACGCACGGCAAGAACTTACGGGTATACTAGGTGGACGCAACACGGTAGAGTGTAGCTGAAGAGAAGCTCCGTTGCCAGATACGTAGCCACACCAAGCAAGCTGACTTTGCCAAGTATCTCCAGCGCCTTGCTGACCCAGTACTTATAGGTCTGTGCATGCGACCAGCACTACAGAGAGAGAGAGAGAGAGAGAGAGAGAGAGAGAGAGAGAGAGAGAGAGAGAGAGAGAGAGAGAGAGAGAGAGAGAGAGAGAGCACAACAGCAAGGTGATAGTGTAAGGCAGTGCGAGACAATCCAGCAGGGCAGCATAGATGCACTACAGGCTGCGGTGAAAGCACACGGGGACTGTACTGAGCATGCTGAATGTACATGTATGTGTGCCTGCACGCATGCAATTAAAGCTGCCGGCGGGACTGCACACAAAAGCACATCCCATACTCTGATCTCTGCATGCATACAGGCCACAGTACAGACACACTCGAACTTTCAGATGCTATACTCAAGAAAACACTGGCCAGCGAATGCCGATCCAATGCAACCACCACATTACTAGCACCACATCTTCACTAGTACGCTCACACACACACACACACACACACACACACACACACACACACACACACACACACACACACATGCTGTGCTGCACTTGCTCAGTGCCAAAATTCGTCACGTGGGTCTCCCCGGGAAAGGAGAGAGAAACTCAAAAGGAATCTTGGAAAGATGACCCAATTGGCTTTTGAACTGCCCAACGGCCGACACCCCTAACTTTGGACTTGGAAATGATCCCACTTATGGGCTCACCACACCACCGTAAGTGGGTGAGGACAAGGTGCAGAAAAAGGATTGACGGCATCAGGGTATCCGTCCCGGGATCAAATACACACACACACTACATGCTACTTACAAGTCCCAGCATTGTCAGTAGCCGCCATAAGACGGTTCTTCCCAAGACCAGGACTGAGAACAGTACAAGATCATAGTCAATCAAGTACCAGTTCTGCGAGAGAGAGAGAGAGAGAGAGAGAGAGAGAGAGAGAGAGAGAGAGAGAGAGAGAGAGAGAGAGAGAGAGAGAGAGAGAGAGAGATGGAGAGAGAGAGAAAGGGAGAGAGAGAGAGAGAGAGAGAGAGAGAGAGAGAGAGAGAGAGAGAGAGAGAGAGAGAGAGAGAGAGAGAGAGAGAGAGACAGAAAGAGAGAGACAGAGAGAGAGAGAGAGAGAGAGAGAGAGAGAGAAAGGGAGAGAGAGAGAGAGAGAGAGACAGAGAGAGAGACAGAGAGAGAGACAGAGAGAGAGACAGAGAGAGAGACAGAGAGAGAGACAGAGAGAGAGAGGGAGAGAGAGAGAGAGAAAGAGAAAAGTGAGGATGAGATTGTGCACAGGTGTCTTCATGTACGCATGTATGTGCGTGTGCGTGGTGTATGCGTGCGTGGTGCGTGTGCATGTGTGTGTCTGTGTGTGCATGTCTGTGTGTCTGGTGTGTGACTGTGTGTGTGTGTTGGCGTGCGTTCGTATGCACACGTGTGTTTGTATGCGCGCATGCATGTGTCCACGTGTGCGTGCGTGTGTATAGCGGCAGAAATAATTCACATGTTTCCGGACACTTAGGAATGGAATGTACGAAGGTACAAGTTTTCGATTGGAACCCTGTCCCTGGGGGGGGGGGGGGATGCGCTGGGGGTGAAGTCAATCCAGATTGAAATATCAACCCGGAACAAGCGCAATGCATCATGTAAGCTCTCCTAGTCAATCAGTGGACCCGGGTTGAAAACGCTCATGTGAGTGCAGCCTTAGTCTGCATGAATGCCTGCTAGAAAGGTATCAGGAGACATCCAGGCCCTCGTTTCACGCCGGTCAGTGCGAGCATGGGCCGTAACTGCCCTGCGAATTCTTTCCCCTGTGCACACGGCTGGCATGTCCGTGCTCGCACTAAACCGCCCGACAAGAGGAGCTGCATTTCATTGGGCAACACTGTACACGCGCGTGCGCGCGCGAAACGCTGCGACGCGCTGGATTCGCAGCATCAGTAGTGCTCCGGGCGCAGGTGTTTGGTGTGTATCGGAGGTGAGAGAGAAACCCAGGGAAGTTCTATCAAGCATCATGGAGCTACTAGATCAATCTATCCGGACTCAGTACACTGCAGCCAGTGCTGCACTGGCACGCAGTAAAACGTGCTTGAGTCATACAGCAGGCACACAGTCATTACCTGCTTGTAGATGTTCAAATTCTGCAACACCAGGCAGAACACCAGGTAGATGAGCATGTATACCTCAACAAGCAGCTCACGAGGCGGTGCCAGGTAGGGAATGTGGCGGGCACGCAAGGCAGACGTTCCTACAGAACTCCCACCACTGTAAACTAAGTTGGAGAGACGACTGCTGGCTGAGTGTCCTGAATATTGGCTGGCATCATCTGAACGACGGGGCCTAGAGGGACTGTGGCCTCCTGCACTACCATGATTGCTACTGCTACGTGGCGACTTGGCTAAGTACTTCTTATTATTGGCCATTCGAGACTGAGGCTGGGAGTCGCAAGGTGCCCTCTGCTCGTGCACAACTCCAAGGGCAAACCAGCTCAATAGCGACATTCCCAGGAAACAGAAACCCAGTGAGAGGTTTTTGGAGCAAACTCCAACAGTCGCACATGCACTCCGTGCACAAGAACGCTCCTTTACCCAGCTATCCTCCTTATGCTGTTATGGAACTCCTGTTCACAGACTTTCGCAGGCGTTATTACAAATCAACTATCCAAAAAAATTCTCCATTGCACTGCACTCTCCTACCGCCATCTGAGAAACAACCACTTCTCTACTTCTCACGTACACGTTCCAGACCAGCTTCACATGTTCAATCTTCATCAAAATAAAAGGTTCAACGGGTTCATGCCTATCATGGTAGGTACGAGTCGAGTCTGCATCTGGCCTGGTAGAGCTTGTGAAATTTCGAAACCGTAGAATCTACCGTACCGGCTCAGAGTCGAGCTTATGACGCGTAGATCTACGTGCTCAAAACCAAAATATCGACAAAAACTTGTCAAAAGCAAAACAAAAAACCTTAAAAAAGTGGTTTCTTGTGTGTTGGCGTCTTGTTTCAGACAGAAGTCGGATCGCGGACAGGACCGCACCGAAAGCCCCGACAATCGACATATCCCCGTCCCTGCCCCTTCGGCAGGCTTTGCGATAGCAGCGGTAGGGAGCGCAGGGAATAGGTGTGGCCATTGCCATTGCTGCCCAAGCTGCAATCTGAAAATGACCACAACAGACTCCCGGCGTCCCGCAAGTGGGTCGAACCAGAGAGTTATTTCAACGCCCAGGGCAGTGTACATCAGCCACTCACCGTGCCCCAACCGGCCACTCACCGTGCCCCCGAGACAAGACCTACCCGTCACTCTCTCCAGCTGCAAGATTCCCATCCTTACCAGATGACAACTGGCCTGCCTGCCAACACCCGGAATAGCTGCCTCCAAGGATTCCCTGCTTGCACCGTTGCAACGTCGAATGCCCTGCCACCAGACCTGTTCCACCACCCACTCACCCAGCCCCACATGCAAAGCTTCAAGAAAAAGGTGTACCGTCACCTGCTTGCTCAGGACTGGCTCTCTACTAGTACTACTGATGCACTTTGAATCTGCTCGCCAACGCTTTCCCTGTTCTTGTTAGTGTTCAGCTGCTTACCTTATAACCCTGCTGCCATCATCACCAATATTCAAA